GAAGATTGCCGGTCCACAGGTTTAACAAGATCACCCAGAAAGGCATGTTTATTGGGATCCAACCGTACCCGTCCACCTGTTTTTGTTCAAGCGAGGCCTTAAGAAGGTTATATGGCGGTTTCTCAACAGTGGGCTTCAAAGGGAAACTACAAGCAAACAACCCATTTTGGCTAGTTTGAGAAACTCCCATATTTTGAGGGACACCCAAATGTTTGGAAAAAGTGGGGAGGGGGTTTGGAACTCTGACGGGGGGCTTCCCCAAAAGGGAAGGTCCATCGTTGTGGGGAGGGGGGGGGCAGGGTACTCCCCTGCAAATCAACGGAGGGAACTCCAAATAGGGGTCGCCCAAAAGAAGTATCCTCGATCAAAGGACGCTTTCTTGAGTTCCATTGAATCCCTTTGCTTCATTGCGGGCATTGGTTTCCCTCTTTTCAATTCATGATCGTGTACAGGCCTTTTCAAACCGCGACTCCCGCGAGAAGGCCGGCGGCGTTTCTCGGCGCCGGAGGTGTCGATGGAAAAGCCGAGCTCAGGTTCTGCATCAACGGCTGCGCGGTCTTCGGGTTCCTTTGCGTGCCGATCGAAAGCGGAGAAGGAAAGCGGGTGGCCGCGTCCGAGGACGGGAGGCACCCAGCCCGGAAGGAAGTGGACTGAAGCGCGGAAAAGAGGTGCCCGGAATGGCGCGGAAGGGGGGGGGGGCGGGGCCTGTGGGATTCCATTTCACGGGCGGGCTGCTTTGGTTGACCACGAATGAATCACGCCGCGTTATTAGGTCAGGGCGCTGATTTATAACTGGGTCTGGGAGGGGGGGGGGGGGCCGGGGTCCGGGGGTTATTGGGGTCGGACCACAGCTTGCTCCAAAGCCGGACCTTTCACTCGGTACCTTCCCTCCCAGCCAGAAGAGCGAGGGGTGCTAGAACTTAGCCCTTTAAGAACTCCGAACAAGGCTCTGAGAATCTTTGGAGGGCTGGGGGGCCCATGTTTTTCGTTTTTGGGGGGGTTGGGGGGGGGGGGCTTTTGCTTCACAAAACAACTGCGTAAATTTTAGACAGACGCAATATGGCACTGGCTTGCCTGACGCTGCCCACAGCTTGGCGCAGTGTCGCGTGAAGACACACTCGCCTTGAGTAGCGTGTTCTGAATCTGATGCGGCCCATTTGTCTTTGTCCGGACATGGATTTAAGAGACCATCTTCCGGACTGCTTGCATGCCCCATTTGTCTGGAAAGGGCTTTAAGAGACCATCTTCTGGGCTGCTTACATGCCCCGATTTTAACTTCTCGTCGTTTTTTTTTTTTTTTTTGACCTTCCATGGCTCATGCCAAGGGTTTCATGTTCCATGGCGTTCCCTATACATGCTGCATTAAACTGGGGCAAACTTAGTTGCCACAATTCGCGATTGAAGAACTGTGCACGCGCGCTCCGCGGCCCTTGCATCTCTGGCAGCAACAAGTCGAAATTCACATGATCCGATTCCCCTGTACATACCAACAAACGTTATGGTTTCAAGCACGGTTTCGAAGGTGGTGCGAAACGGATTTCGTCCATCCACAGTTGGGGTGGAGAGGGGGCTTGGGGGGGGTTGGGGGCAAGCAGGTTCCGACTTGAGGCCATCCTGCAGACCCTCGCGGAGGCGCCCGGCGGCTCCATGCAAGCGATGCTGGGAGGCGTGGGAGATTTTGCCGTATCGCTCCTTGGTGTGGTGGAAGGCCGTGTATTCTGTATAAAATTTGCATGACGGTATTGCCTTTTGGGGTTATTGGCTGCAAAACAGACAAAGTGTCCATCCCCCCCCCCCCCAAAAGAAAAAGAAAGCCAACAACAACAACGAGAACAATGCAACAACAAAACTAAAAAGAAAACAACATGCAACATCGAGAGTGTGTGTGTGTGTCCTCCTGATGATCATTTCTTCTGGCATTTTGGGAACCATCTCTGCCATTTTCTTTTCGTGCTGTGATGCTTGCCGAGGGCATTCTTTTGGACACGGCTTATTAATTACTAAGAGTCCCTCATTTTGGAACACGATTCTAGTGGTTGCTCTAAACATCTGTCCACTGTTACAGGGCGGGGCTGCTGCTGAAGGTCTATTTCCTGAGTTCGTTCCCATGTGGCTACCGATTTCTGATGAACACCCTCACGCGGGTTGACATGGACAGGTAGGTTTCCATGTTGAAAAGGCCGAAGGGCCCAAAGCTAAGATTCAAACCTCTGGCACCGTTGTAGAAGGCGTAGGCTGCCATGATTTTGGACAACTTGGCTTTTTTCCGCCACTTTCTGCGGTGCGCGAGGAATTCTCGACGCGACGACAAAGCAGTCATGGCAGCGGTGTTGCAGACACGGGCGGCCTTTTTGCCACCAGAAAACGCAAGCCACATGTCCAAGCTGGGCGTTTTTTTTGTTTTCTCCATTTCAGGGGGAAGATCTGGGCCAATCGACGGCCGCTTTTTCCTTTCAGCGGGAAAGATCTGGGCGCAGTTCCCCGCGCTCCGCAGGTTCCATGCCTTCCGTGGGGTCCATGGGATCTATGGCCCCGGGCGCCCGGAGCCCCAGCACCCGTCGCCCTCCTGCGCTCCTCGAATCGCGTGAGAAGCGGCCGGTTCGGAGCCCATTTGATGGGGAAGCCGGGATGATTTTTTCGGGGGGGTGGCTTCTTGGAGGGTGCCTTTTTTTTTTTTCTTTTTTCTGGGGGCGGGTTCAAAGGGAAACCACAAGGCGCCGCTGCGTCTGCAAGCGCCCGCAAGCGCTTGCAGGTGGCAAAGTTGCCGTGCAGTTGGGGAAGGCTAGATAGTCAAGCTGAAAAGGATGACGAGAAGATAGAAAGCCAGACAGGCAGATAGGCACACAAACCGGCACGCAGACAGGCCCGCTAGGTAGACACACACAAAAAATGTACAAATAGATGTGGATGAACACGTAGATGGACACATTAGATAGACACATCAATTGGCCAGTACGTGGGCAAAAGGATGGGTAGAGACATGCACAGACTACACAGATTTACACGCCATGCAAGCTTTGGGAAATAAACCTGCATTGGGCTCGTGGCTTCTATCAGTCTTTTTTGGGGGTCCCCTAAAAAAAGAAACGCACCCATGTAGAAAGTAGTGGTTTAAAAGCTTGTTTGGGCCAGACCTCAGCCGTCAAAGGGCTTTTTCCGGGTTGCGAAGAAACAGTTGGCTGGTTGCACATGATCGCGCAGCTGCTTGCGGACCCTCGCTTTCGGACAGGGGCCCTCGCTTTCGGACAGGTTCAGGTCGCATTCATTGTTCCAGAGTTCCAGATCAGGGTTGTGGAATCAAGGGGGTTGGTTCCCACTTCTGTGCTACTTTTGGGAATCTCCCCCTTTCTATGGGGGTGTCAGTCCTTGGGACGCCCTTTTTGTTGTATCACAGCAGCGGGTTCCATGTCCCACAGCCCTGTTCCACATGCACTCGCAGAGCTGCGCCGAGGTGCTCCCAGCCTTCGGCATGCCGGCAGGGGGCCTCGGGAAAGTGAGCCGGGTGCCAGGTGCCGAGCCGTTTTTTGGTGCCGTGGGTTTAGGGCCACGCCCATTTCGCCCGTGGGATGGTGGGACTTTCCCAAAGGGGAGAGTGGACTTTTTTTTTTTTTCACTTGTGAGCGGCAGAGGGGTCCTTTCCTGGAGCTGCGGGGGGGCGACCTCGGAGAGATCCCATGCGCCTTGGCCGAGGCGGGCGATGGGGCGGAGGCCTCAGCCATGCTTTCTATCGGAGGGCGTGCACATTGCCATGGCTTGCCTCCTCAAGGCTCTCAAGGCTTTTCTTGTCACCAGCAGAGGATTTTCTTCACTGTTCTTGGCATGTTTTTTGGTTTTTTAGTTTTTGGTTCTGTTCATTTTTACTGGGGGTCTGCAAAAAACACGGTTTTTCGCTACCGTGCCAAGAGTAGAGACGGAATGGGTCAACGCAAGTCGCCGCGTTCTGCGGGGTGTGGGGCAGATCTGTCAACAAAGGCGCTCGAGAGTTGGCTCCAAGGCTTCCGCCCCTGCGTGGACGGGTGTCATTACCTTGGTCCGGAGCTCGGCGCGTACGCCGTTTGGCGCCCAAAAAACGGTACACCTGCAAATGGCAAGAAAAACACGTAAGGACGGAGGACGGGCTCACTCATGATGAATCCCAGGAACTTTCCGACTTCCTTTTTATTTTTTGGAATGATAGCAACTTGTCCAGAATTTGTCGATCAAGTTTTCGCGGTGCCCCTCGCTCTTTCCCAGTTGCGAGGAGGAAAGGCCACATCAGCTTCTTCCCTGGGATTGCCGGGTAAAACTCGGGGATTTGGCTGCTCGGAGTTGCCCAGGCCCGAAACATGGCCAAGAAGACACCCTTCAGAGCAGCCCTGGTGCAAGGGAAGGTATCTGACGTGGAGGCCCGGCCTGGCATTTTGCATGAGTTTTGCTTCATGTCCTGCGTTTCAGTCGCGGTTTTGGGCCGCTGAACGTTGGGCTGTTTGGCTCCAGCGGCTCTGTGCCACCGCCCGCTCCCTTCCTTCATGGCTGGAGGTGTTTCCTTGGTTGCTGGTTCTAGACGTCGCCTTTGAAGGCCAATTCAAAGGGGGCTTCCTGAAAGTGAGTTGCAATCAAAGGTTTGCAAGTCTCGGGAACCAAGCCCTGCGGCTGAATTCAGCTCAAAGGCCTGCATCTTTTGAAAGCTGCGAGCTTTCTTTGGGTTCTTGGGGGGTGAGAGTGGGTGTTTCTTGGCTTTTCTGGATGGGCTCTTCGGGTTTAAGAGTGGGTTTTTCTTGGCTTGAACGGGCTACTTGGCCTCCCCTAAAGCCCCGCGGTGTCGACCCTCTCGCGCGTCGCCCGGATGGGCAGCAGCCACGGCAGAGCTGCCTCCGCCGCCGCGAGCGCCGCGGGAGCCGCAAGCGCCGCGGGAGCCGCGGCCAATGACCTGGCGCCGCGATGGCTGAAGGCGGCAAGCATGAGTATCGCTGAGTATCGGTTTGAGTATGCGGAACCTTGGTTTAGCAACAATTGCCTCGTATGGCTTCTGAACAACACAGGTTCACAATGGCCGTGGCCTGCACGACATGTTTGGGGAGGCCGCAGAATGATCTGAGATGATCTTTCGTTGGAAACGCCAAGCGCTTGTTTTGGAACTGGGCACCTTTGGCAGCTGTTTGAATCAACTTGTTCCCTCCACTGGCCATCAGTTTCCAGCCGCAACCCACCCGGCCTGTTTTTCCCTCCACGCAAAGAAGCAAACCAGTGGCCTGCACTGGCCCGAGCAAAAAAGCAAACCCGCGGCCTTTCTTTTCCCCCCGACTTTTTTTTTTTTAAACTATAACCGCGGTTGTCGAAGCAATGGTTCAAGCCCCCGGGGGGCCCCTGGTTTCTCGCCGCTTTCTTGCTGTTCAGGCGGTGCGTTCGGCCGTGCCGCTGCCACCGGGCCAGGCGGGTGTCGGGGGTGTCGGGGTTCGGGATCGGGAAGGTTCGGCGGTTCTCAGGCGATTTGTCGGACTTGCCCTCTCACCATGGAACCTAGGGGCGACTGTGCGGACCACTGCCCTTAGCTGTTCTCTTCTTTCTCCATTTTTTTTCTCTGCGACTTGTTGGATCCTGATGGCTCGGATCATTTCTCCCCTGAACAGCGAGAAGCAGAACTTTGAGCAGCGGTTTGTAGTCCAAGTCTGGCGGTGATGGGTGGTTTTTGTGGGGAATTTCAGAGGTGAGGTCCACTTGGACCATCTCATAGGCCTTCCGAGGCGCCATCTCTAATCTCTGGGGGGTGGTTTCAGATCGCCCTTTGGTCGCCTTGGCGGGTTTCCCTTAAGCCGGGCTGCTTCGACTCCATGCTTTTCGGGCGGCTTACGCGCTACGCGCGCGCCGACCTCTCAGGCGAGCGAGGGCTCGGTCTCGGCGGGGCGAGTGCTGCGGCCGGACAGCAGCCTGGTCTTCGCGCGCTGCGTCTTCACTTCGCCCTGCGCTCCCGATGGGCCGGGAGTGGCACCTCGGACCGGCTTAAGGTGGGGCTGGCTTAAGGTGGAGGTATGGGGTTGTCCTTTGAGGCTCCCTCCTTCCGTTTCTTTTTTCCCCCTTTGTGAGTGGGGGGGGGGAACTTCTTGTTGCTAAAATGAGTAGTTTATTTACTTTTCCCTGTTGGTTTTAAAGGGAACCTATCACTACAGGACATGTTTTTCATTTTTTCCTGGGGACGAAACAGCACATGGATCCAACCGTGGTTTCCAGTTCCCCGATTTAGAGGGTCCTTTACTTTCAGACAAACTCGTGTGTCCTTTAAAAGCATCTAAAAGGGGACCCAACTTTGAACTGTTAGCTTGTTGCAGTTCTTCGTCATTGTATTCAAGGCTCCAGAACTTATTGGTTCTGGTCACTTATTGGTTCTGGTCACTTATTTGAGCGGATCATTGATATTTACAGATCATTTGGGTTGAGCCTCCCGAATTCCAACAGAAGGAGACGTGCAATGTGGAACCGATTCGTTCAACCATGCGGCGCCACCAGATCGCACAGCATTGCCAACGACTGTCCTCCTCCTCCTGTTTGCACGTGCACCCAAACTGCAAGTGGCCGTTGCTTGCGTTTGCAAGTGACCGTGGCAAATGCAGCGAGCGGCACCCTTGAAGGCAAAACATGTGCTTCTGCATGCAACAGCTGTACTGGGTTGTGAGAAGCCAGTCCACACTAGTAGGGGCTTACCACTAATTTCTGAACCAACTGGGGCTTAAACCTCTCAAGCACCAATCCACGCCAACCCACAAGCAATCCAACAAACCAATCCAAACGCAACGCAAACCAATCCAACACTTGGGGTGGTTTTCGCTTTCTCCGCGCGCCTTTCGCCTCTCAGGTGGGTTTTGGTCTGGTGTAGAAACCCTCTCTTTTCAGGGGGTGCCTTGATGAATCTCTCCATGTTTCCGAAAAGAGGGGGCCCCGCAATACGCAATACCCCGAACCACGCGCTTAGAGATGGGGTCTCTCAAAATAGGGGACCCCCAAAATGGGCTGTTTTGTTTTTGGCCGCCCTTTAAGCCAATCCAAACAGGGTCTCAAACAGGACACATCCAGATGAACTCCAAATGGGTGTGTCTTTTTTAAGGGGTCCTCCAAAAATGGTTGCTTTCCTTTTCGTTTCCCATTTAAGCCACAAAAAAGAGGTACCGTTGGCAGTTTGAATGGAGACCGCCAGTAAGTTGGAAGTCCTTTTAGTGACCCTGTCAAAAAAGACACGCCAAACTAGGGTTGTCTCAAAATACGGGAGCCCCCTTTCTGGTGGCTTCCCCTTTGGTTCCCGTTTGAGTCGCCCAACAAATGGTACCCTACTTCGAGCACCCCCCCACCCCATTGAATCCTTAAATATGGAATTCGTGGGATGGACCACTGGAATTCCATTCATGGTTCCATTTCCCATGGGGAAGGCTAGATGTATGGAATTTGGGGACCAGCGACCCGCCACCCCCTAAGCGGGAATCTGTTCTCCTGGGAGGGTACGTGTGATAGGGTACCTGGAAGATCAGTTTCCTCTTGGCTGGAAGGAAGGACCCCCTGTCACCTGTCAGGTGTCATGTTGGCTCGAGAACCCCCCCAAGAATATGTTTCCTGATGGGAGGGGGATGTCACCCCCCAGGCAGAGGGACTATTTTCCCTCCAGGGCCCCTTTTGGTATGGGCCATCTAGGCCCAAAAAGTGTCCTCCACATAGGTCACTTGCCACTTTCGAAGGAACGACCCCTGTCAACAAAAGGAAAACCACACCCCGCAGGTGTTTTTTTCCCTCCAGGTGAGCCACAATCAAAACCCGGGTAGATGAAGGTTCCTAACTGACAATCCCAACCGCTGCGGCCGCCTTCTTAATTCTTTACATGGTTCCGGGTCGACCATTTCAATGCCGATCGGTTTTGATGGCGGCAAAGGGGGAGTGAAGGGGACAGTTCCAGCCATACATTTCGCCCTCTTAAGCAGCTGTAAGCAGCTGTAAGCAGCGGTAAGCAGCGGAGTCGGGAGAGAATAATTTCAGCATTGGCCAAACACCCAACCATACATTTCCCCCCCCCCCCCCCCCTTTGCCCATAAGCCCCTTGTAAGCAGCGGTAAGCCGGAGGAGGTTTTGAGGTTTGGAGCAGACTCAGCTTATCCACAAAAGGAGTCTTATGGAGGTTTTGACGGATGACCCAGCAAACAGTTCCAGCCCAAAATCGCCCCATTCAGCGGCGGTAAGCGGAGGTGGTGGAGCGGGCGCTGGTGGACAGCGGCTCCTCCGACTGCGAGCTGCGGGAGGGGCTCCTGCGACGCCTGCCCAAGCTGCCGGTGGTGGCCCGAGCCGCGCCTCGGCAAGCCAACCGGGACGGTCGTTTTTTTTTTTTGTCTTTTTCCAGGCGATCAAATGGAGCCTTTGTTTGGGTTGTTTGGGTTGTTTGGTTTGTTTTTTGTATTTCTTGTTTTGTTGTGTTGGCTTGTTTGTTTTGGTTTGTTTGGTTTGGTTGGTTTCTCTGGTTCGTTTCTTTGTTTCCTTTTATGGCTTTCCTTTGCGGCATTGCTTGGGGGCTGCAAGCATAGGCCGTTGGTTTCCTGTTGGTTTCCCGTCCCCCAAAAGTAAAACACGAAGCCCTCCACTTTCAAACAGATACTCTGGGGGTGGGTGGGGGGGGACGCGTATCATTCTTATTGCTGTTGTTATTCGTAGTTGTAGCAGTAAGGTCATTAGCACTTTCATGATTGGGAAGAGGGTGATCACTTGCTATTGGAATCATTTTTGCCAGTGTAATTCTTCACCGGTGGAATCATCGAGGACATCATCTCACCTTTGGTCGAAGTTCTTGCTGGTGCTCAGTAGGGGAGGCAAACTAGAGGGGAAGGTTGTTATTTCTAGGTCATTCCATTGCTCATTCCCTGCCCATCGCGCCAGCAAGTATTTGGACACGGCCTTCGGACGTGACGGGCACGGGACAGGTGATGTACGAGACCTCCACGGGTGGCGAGGCGTACGACGCCTATGAGGCGCCCCTTCTACCAACCTATGGCTTCGGATCGAATGGGGACCCGTCTGGGGTGTGTGTGTGTCCCCATGTTTTAAGTCCAAACACACAAGCCGAGGAACATGACGCACTTCTATTGATTTGCCATATGCAGCACAACCTTAACATCTCCCTAGGCCATCTTTGCGAGGACTTGGCTCCTCTAAAATCACTCTAAATCAGCTGTCTAAGGCGGCTGTTTCTCTGGCCCAAGCATGTCCTTGAAAGAACTCTGTCAACTTGGGGGTTGGTAGGGCAGAACCCAAGAATTGGCCCAAGAAGGCGAACAAATGCCATGTCAGGCAATTCTGCGCTTAAGAAACGTAAACACTAGGTCAGATGATGAAATTATCTACCCCACAAAAACATCCCGCGGATCGAGAGGACTGTTCAGGATGGATTTGGAGGTATGGAGGCTACATACTGGTGCACAATGTTGCTTTTTTGCTTCGTTCCAAGCATGTATTGGCACACAGGCATCTGTCTCCAAAACCATCTGGCAATATCCTTGATAGTATGAACAGTGGTTGTTTAGCCCCATCAAACCTTCTTGCTGCGCAGGACATTTCCCATGTGCGAGCCATTGAATCGACAGGTCATCATCACCGTGGAGGGCCGCCGCTGTGCAGCGGTGCTCACAGTGGTGCCGGAGGCCGGGAAAAGGCACAAGTTGCCACTGCTATTGGGCAACGGATTTTTAGACTTGGGTGGGGGGGTGGCGGTGGGGGGGTGGGGGAGGGGAGGTGGGGGTGGGGGGGTGGGGGTGGGGAGGTGGGGGTGGGGAGGGGGGGTGGGGGTGGGGGGGAACTTTGTGGCTTTTTTTCTCATATTTCCTTTTAACCTGCAAAACGTGAACCACTTTTTGCTGGGGTATCTACACCCAAGAAATGTGGCATTCCGCAAGGATACAGTTGGGCGAATCCAAGATCGTGTTTTAGAGGAGCTCCTCATAGAGGGTGGGTTTTTGAGGTGTATCCTTGTGAGGAACCCTGAAACAGGGCCTCGATCCTTTGGAGGAAGAAGGTGGGAGTGTGGGGTGTGGTGGGCTCTGATGACCCGCAACCCGCCCGGCAGGAGCGCTTCCATGCGTGCGCTGAGGAGCCCTGCTCCGACGAGGCGAGCCTTCCAAGTGGGTTCCAAGTGCTTCATTTTTTTTTTGCCCTTTCGGACTTGGGGGTGCCCTCAGTTCTTCAAAGCCGACTTGTTATCCTTCCACCCTTTAACATACAGTACCTGGAAGATGAATTTCCTCTTCAAGGGGCCCTTTGTCTGGTTCCATGTTGGTGGGAGGGAGGGGGCCCCCAAAGCTTTTGTTCCCAGGTCGTTTGGGCAAGTGAGCCAAACATGGCTGGTTTCGTTTTAGCCCCCTTTAAGCACAGCAAGGGGGTCCGCCATTCCGCCATGTTCAGAAGTTCTCGATATTCCCGCATGGACTTCAGGGGGAATGTAGAGAGCCCCGCTGAACCCCGCGGCAGGCATCGGGGGACCCCCTATCAATGGTGGCTTCCAGTAATTTCCTGACCTTTCCGGTTGCACGTACCCCAAAAACAACAACAAAGAACCACCCCCCCCTTCAAAAAAGAAAACAAGAACGAACGAAGCAAGCAATAAGACTACACATCCCAAAAAACAAGAAGAAGAAGAAGAAAAAGGAGAAGGAGAAGGAGAAGAGAAGAAGAAGAAAAGAAAAAGACGAAGAAGAAGAAAACAACAGAAAGAGAGCAACAACACAAAACAAACAGAAAAAGAAAGGGAGGCCCAGCTGTGCTCCTCAGGCCCTCTTGGGGCACATGGCGATCGCTGCCCTGGGCTTGATCGTGGACTGCCGCCCCCGAAAGCTTCAGACCGAGGCCGCGGATTTTTTTTTCGGATTCGAGTGAAAGGTCCGATGCACGTGGGACCATTGGAAGACCAGCAAGAGAATTCCGACCCTCAACCACAGGAAGGCCCTGAGGGCCAAGATTTGAGATTTCCACCTGAGGACCAAGATTTGACATGATAGAATGGGTTTTTCCATCCTTTGGGGGCCGAACGGCAGCTCTGGTTTTCCAAGCGGTTCCCCACTCGCAGCCCGTCTGGATCTCGGGGCTGCCTCGTTTGCGCAGGTTGCTGCGGCTGCATGCCAGGAGCTGCCAGAAGGCTGGCCTGCCACGTGGGGGTCGTTATTTCGACCGTTTCTGGGGGTTTACCCTGCCACCAACTAACATGGAAGTGCAAAAAGGCTCTTTCTAAGAGGAAAGTAGTCTTTCTACAGGGGTCTGTGCACTTCCATGTTTAGCTGGTGGGAGGGTATCAACGTCAGACCATAGAGTTGCTTCCCTTTAACCTGCCACTTGGGGGGGGTGACTTTGATTATGGTACATGAATGGGCTCAGTGTTGGTTTCTGAGAAGGAGGGGGGGTGCTCCTTTGGGTTTTACACCAGGTCCCACCCAACCCATGGCTTAAGAAGCACGTCGGGATTGCTGGGCGCCTCCGGAAAGATCAATGGGCTCGTGGAAAAGGTGCTAAAAAGGCGGTTTGGAGCCCTTTGTTTGACCCCCATGTTTGCCGAAGAACAACTCCCAACCTGCCCAAAAGTACAGGGCTCGGTTGCGGGGAGCCCAAAGAGAGAGGGCATCGCATGCGCGGAAGGAGCTTTTGGGTTTGCAAGCGGCTAGGGGACCTGGGCCAGTTGCAAGTCGCCAGCAGCCGGCCCTACGCGTGTGTGCGGCCGCCCAGCGTACAGGTGCTGCCCGTGCAGCTCGGATTGAGCAAGCGGGGAGGTGGCTTTTTGTTTGAGGCGCGGCGCCCCTTTCATGGTTGTCGTTGGGAAGTTGTTTTTTCCCCTTTTTGCTTATTGTGGTTTAGTGGTTGGAATCCAACCACTTAACTGCCAACAAAAATAAGATAGTTTTTGCTCCCCTTCCAACGTCAACCAAGTTTGCAGCTTTGAAGGGCAACAGAGGCGCAACGCCATTTTGGGGCTCTGAACCCCTGGTTTGACGCGTGCCGGAATGCCAGCAAAACACGCGTGGCTTGGGGATAGGTTCTTGTAGAGGGTGTTTGGGAAACAATGGGCAGAGCAGCACCAATCCAAACCACCAATCGGAAGGAAGCTGATTTTCAGGTAGGTGAACCAAAAGGTGCCCCCGTGTTGGGGGTCCAAATCCCTGCTTTGACACGTGCCCAGCAAGCAAACGGGGGACCAATATGAGGTTTGGTCGAAAACTCCGGATTTATCTGTAGTTCATTTGGGAGCGACATGGGGGGACGAGCTCTAAACTTCCACAAACGAAACAATTAACTCACTAATTTTGATGTCTCGTGGGGAAACAAGGGATTTCGACCACAAACCACCGCCCAAATTCCTTTAATCGAAAATGGACGAGCAATGAAGGGACATGGCTTGCCTTTTCCACTGTTTGTGGGTAAATAAACAGCCCCCCTGGTAGTGTAGAACCCTTCTCAAGGGAATGGCAAACCCTGGAAGGGGCCCAATTGAGCCATGCTCAAAACCAATTCGGGTAGATGGAGGTTAGTAAGGGACAATCCCAACCATCAATAGCGGCGGATATCCGCCTTCCTAACTCTTTACATTCTGGGTAGACCATTTGAATGCCGATCGGTTTTGATGGTGGCTTAGGCTATCTGAAGGTGAGGGACAGTTCCAGCCATACATCTTCCCCTTAAGCAGCGGTAAGCCGCGGAGTCAGGAGAGAATCATTTCGGCATTGGCCAAACACCCAACACACACCTGGGCTACGTTTTCCTGCAGATGTTGCTTCTGGTTTCTTCGGTTTCTGGCAAAAGGTGGATGGTTTCCAATGGGAGCGCTGCAATGGATGTATCCACAATGGAGTCAGAATGCCTGGTTTTGATGGTGGCTTAGGCAAGTGAAGGGGGGACAGTTCCAGCCATACATAGCCCCCTATTGCCCGCAAGCAGCGGGGTCAACCATCTTAGTACTCGGTTTTGATTTTGACCCACTTGCTAGGAAGCGGTTTGGATGCGCTCTTTGTGGATTTCACCTGTTCTTCCCCCTCTAGGTTTTTTTTAGTACTCTTTTAGTACTCTTTTAGTATGGGGTGGATCCACAAAAACCGCATCCAATCCGTTTCCCAGACACTTGGGACGCCCTCGGCGTGGAGAGGCCGCTGGGCGGCGACCACTCCCCCCGCTGGCTGCCGGGCACGGGCTGCGCCATGCCGCTGCTCCTCGAGGGCTTGGCCCCGGAGCCCCAGCAGCGGCTGGACGAAAACCAAAGGGGCACTGCCCGGGCTTGCCGTCCCCTGCTTCTACTTCCCCTGCTTGGAATCTTCTTCTTCTTCTTCTTCTTCTGCTTCTTCTTCTTCTTCTCCCGTTTCTTCTTTTTTGTTGGCGGGAGGGGGGGGGGGAGGGGCTTTTTTGCATGTTTCAGGATTTCATCGGTTTTGGTGTTTTGCAGTTGGTCACCCATTTGCTCCGGCTGTACCAGGCCATGCTCATCTTCCAACCTTTTTGCCCAGTTGTTTTAATTTTAGCATGGATAAAAACCAAAAACCTTTCCCCAGTTTGATTCCAGTTATTCTTTTGAGTTGTTCAGCTCGTCTTAAAGTCTTAATTGTTCAATGTGTTCTGTGTTTCGTTTGTTCCCAGGTTTAACAAAGAATGCATAACACTCATAAAACACAGGTTTTGCTATTTTGGACCGTACCCCTTCTTTGGGTTGTTGTTTGACTTTGTTCATTGTTAGTGGCAAGCTGAGACCAATCTTTTCTTGCGAGCAGAAGGAACATAACGCAGGTGGATGGTCGTTTTTGAGTTGGTACCAACCTGTCTGGTTGGTTTTAAAGGGAACCAAGAGGAGCACCGCCATTTACTGTTGGCCCCCAACCCCAGGGTGTCCCTGGGTTTGGTGGGGAATCATCACTGTTGGAGGGGCCAAAACCACCCCCCCCCATTAACAAACACAGGTTGGTTGATGAATAGGGGGCTAACCTTAAAGGGAAGCCAAGAGGAAAACCGAAGGCGCATAGGTGTCCTTGTTGGTTGGTTTGCTCGAAAAATAGAGGGCCCTGGTTCAGATGGGGTTTATTCCATTTACCGGGGCCATCTGTCTTTCCAAAAAACCACCTATGCGAAGGCGCTGTGGGCATCCCCTAAGAAAGACGAGCCCATAAAATTTGGGCAGGTTGGCCGCAGCGCACGACTGCCACGGGCAGCCCACCGTGCCGGTGACCTATGCCACGTGCTGGGGGCCCCAGCGAAATGTAGGATCCGCACCCCCGGTTTCGTTTGGTTTCGTTTGGTTTGGCTTGATTTGGGAGCAGCTAGGGGGCAGTTGAGTGAACGATGCCATTGGTTGGTCATCCCTTTTTTTAATATAAAGACGTGGGATTCGAGGAGAGGGGTGACAGTTTGAGACCCCAATTTCGCACCAGCGGGCAACACTGAAAAAATGGAAGTGGGCCTCCCTCCACCTTTCCAGAAAGGAGGTGGGCCACAACAGTCATTTCCACATTCTCACTCATCTGGTGTGTCCTGTGAGCGTTTGTGGGGTGCCCTGTTCAAAGGCCCCCCGTTCAAAGGCCCCCCCCCCTTTCCCCGCCGGGCCGCGCCTCGGCGCCTGGGCGCCGAGGCGTGTTCTTGTCGCCGCTGGCGCCGGAGAAGCGCGTGGTGGTGCCAATGGCGCTGGTGGACACGGGGTCCTCGGATTGCGAGCTGCGGCAGGCGGCCTCGGCCCGAGTCGGTCGAAGCGGTCGAATCGGGGGGTGGGGGCCCTGCCTCGCAGGGCGGGGGGATGGGGTGTGGGGTGTGGGGATGGGGGCATGGGGGGAGAATTGATTCGGGTTGATGCTTTTGTTGAGGCCCTGTTCAGGCTGACTTAAAGCAAGACCAAAAGAAGAAACACCATACTCAAAGGAAAACACCCTTGTTGGAAGGAGGGTATGTTGATTTTGAGGCTGCACCCTTTCTGGCTTGTTCAATGACAATCCACAAGATGGGTTTTTCTCGGGTTGCAAGAGCGGGCCTGTGTGGTTTCCCAATTGGACATTGGAAATGGGATCCAATGTAAGCCAGTGTATGTGAGCAATGAGGTCCTTTGGTTGTCCTTTCAAGCTAGGCCCAAGGGGTTGGACACAAGCATTTTGCAGTGTCTATTTTTAAGGCCTAAAGAAGACACACACACAAATAAAGGAAGCACAAGAGAGCAAAAGGGCAAAAGAGTGCGGAGAAAGTTGGTGCGAGTACATTTGGGGAAATTGCAAGTCACGTTTCGGAAGGTTGGGGTTTGCGACGTCACCCATGAAGGATTCTTTAGGAATCCATGTTTGATTTTATGGTGAACTCTCCACATTTGCCATCATAAAGTCCCTTTGAGAATACCTACCCTCCGGTCCACTAGCATGGAGTTCCCCCCAAAAGATCCCGTTTAAAGGACAAGTTGCAGGACCTTTGGGCCTGCTGCACGTTTTTTGCTGGACCCAACCCCCCCCCCCAAAACAGCTCGGGCCGAACTCAGCAGCTCTTTGGGCCGCGTTTCGCGCGAGAGCTTTGCGCGGATCAGGGGCTGTTGGACCGCCTGCGGCCGCTGCCGGTGGCGGCGCGGGGCGTGGTCTACGAGACCGTGGCCGGGCGCCACGTCTTCGACTCCCTCGAGGCGACGCATCGCCGAGGGCGGCGTTCGTTCGGAGTTGGCTGGGGGCGGCGCTGCGGAGGATTTTTGTTTTTGCCGGGGCAAAAGGAAAGGGCATTCTAAGAAGGATTGGTAAAGCGATCCGCTTCCTAAGAATTTTGGTTTGTAGTTGGTTTTTAGTTGGGGTTTTAAATGTAACCCACTAAAAGTCAAACGTTGAACTTTTACAAGGGATCTGAGGACAGGCCAGCCCAGAATGTACTTTTGGGTTTTAATCTATCAGGCCTTAGTGGTGAATAACAAGTTCCAGCACTATTTTTGTTCTTCTTCTTTTCTTCTCGAATACGCTCAGAAACTGAAAAATGTCGAAGAGGGTTTGTCAAACCTTGCAGAAAGTGTCCAGAGTTCAGCTTCCATTTTCACTTTCCCTTGTTGTATTTTGAATCTGCACCAATTCTGGCAAGCTCGCAGATGCGCGGGCGGAGCAAGCGAGTCCTTCCGCTACTGGGGCATTCGGCCTCGTATAGTTCTCACAGCCCGGAACGTTTGATTGGAGGGAGGGAGGTGGCGATGACTTCCGCTTTTGCAGGGATTTCTGTGAGTGGGAGGCGGAACCGACCATCTTTCGGGGGCGCTTTCGCCCTGGGTGGGATTGTGGGAAGGACAAGGGGCGACTAGGAAGCTTAAGCATGGTTTTGGAATCGGGAAGGCCTACAGGCGTTCCTTTAAACCCATCAAAACAAAGCACCCTCAAAAATAGACACACTCATATAGTTGAATCTTATTTTCATTGCTGTGGAGCAAGCGGCGGGAAAACATCTGGGTTGTGCGGGGTCGCCTTCCTTTTCGTGAATTAAGACGACTGAGTTGAAGTGCGATTGATCCTGGTTCAGTTGGTAGGTGGTTCATCCCAATTGTCTATCCCAACTGGTGCAGGATTTTGTGGGTATGTTCAAGCCTTCACCTCAGGGGAGCTTATGATAATTCGCCTCTTGGCCATGATTTTTCACATGGCTTGCCTCGACGTTGACTTGCAAGCTTTGCTTGCCAGGCGTAGAGGGAAATCACCTACCAATTTTGAGAGAACCTCTTCTTCACTCTGCGCAGTTCACATGGGAGTTTCTAAAGCCGGTGGGCTTTCCTTCCATATGGTCGGTGCAAAAAGGGGAGCCCGTCGGACCCACCTGATGCTATCCCCGTGGGGCTGATGACTTGGGGAAGCGGGTCCTCAGCTGGGTCCGACTTTCTGGGTCGAAGGCTGGCCTGTTTGATCAAGGCGCCAAGAGGGGTTGTGGATCGGATCCATCCAACCACTTCTGTGATTTCCCCCTGGGGGGAACATGTCTTCGGGAAGAGTGCAGGGAGGATCTCTGCACGCTAAGTTCGCGTCAGTGATTACATCAACCATGTGTTTCAGTCCCGGATTCTTGACTGCTATTGGGTTGGATCTTTAGACTTGAACTTTTTGGTTGAAATCAAGTTGCGTTTCCCCACTACTCCCCGAAAAAAAAGTGATTCACTTTTTGCAGGGTCAACAGCCACCCAGACAGGGAGCCCCTCCCCCAAAGCCTCGGATGGAGCGCTCGACCCAAACAGGTGCTGGTGGCCATCGAGGGCCGGCTCTGCGCGGCCTGCGTCACCGGGATCCCGGAGGAGCGCTTCCTGCCGGGCGCAGAGGACGGGCTGGGTACCAAGTCTAGGTCCCCCAGTGCCCTTCTCTACCCCCTGTTTTTTGGGGAAGGGAGGGTTTTTTCCCCTATTAAAATAGGCTACAGGAAAAAAAGAAGAAAAACTAGACCACGGTTGGCCCGAAAGCATAACATCGCAAGCGAGGTCGGCCCAACGCTGCAGGATGCGTTCTTTTTCCCTCCACGAAGCATTTGTGAAGCAAGCGCGGGACAGCACCAGGCAAGGTGCTCTGCGCAAGCTGGTCGGTGCAAGTTGGTCTGCGCAAGTTGCTCTACGCAAGTTGCACTGTGCAAGTTGCTCTGCGCAAGTTGCTCCGCGCAAGTTGCTCCGGCAAGTTGGGCCCCTGCAAGTGGCTCCCTGCAAGTTGCTCTGTCTGCAAGTTGCTCTGCGCAAGTTGCTCTAGGCAAGGCGCTTTGTGCACACTGGTCGGTGCAAGTTGGTCTGCGCAAGTTGCTCTGTGCAAGTTGCTCTGCGTAAGTTGCTCTGCGCAAGTTGCTCTAGGCAAGGCGCTTTGCGCACACTGGTCGGTGCAAGTTGGTCTGCGCAAGTTGCTCTGTGCAACTTGCTCTGCGCAAGTTGCTCTGCGCAAGTTGCTTTAAAATGCAAGTTGCATCTTGCGACGCCCGCCCGCGGACCAGGGAGGAATCGAACCCGCGACCCGCCGGTTCCGGGAGCAGGCGCGCGAACCACGAGACAACTCCCGAGGACCAGTTCGAACAACAAAAGTCGCAAAAAACCTTGAGTTTTTGCACCTCGACGCAGAGGGTCGCGCGAGCACCGCAGAAATCGCAAAAAACCTCGAGTTTTTGCACCTCGACCACGCCGATCCCCGCAGAGGGTCGCGCGGGCATGTTGGAAATCGCAAAAAACCATGGGTTTTTGCACCTCGACCACGCCGATCCCCGCAGAGGGTCATGGGTTTTTGCACCTCGACCACGCCGATCCCCGCAGAGGGTCGCGCGAGCAGGTTAGAAATCGCAAAAAACCATGGGTTTTTGCACCTCGACCACGCCGATCCCCGCAGAGGGTCGCGCGGGCATGTTAGAAATCGCAAAAAACCATGGGTTTTTGCACCTCGACCACGCCGATCCCGCAGAGGGTCGATTTTCGTGTAGTGTCGTCGGCACTACCCCGCCGCCCTAAGAAGAGATTTTAACTCCTCGCAAGTCAATTGCACTTGGCTCCTTGCACTTGCAACTTGCACTAACTCCTTGCACTTGCAACTTGCACTTGACTCCATGCACTTGCAACTTGCACTTGACTCCTTGCACTTGCAACTTGCACTTGGCTCCTTGCACTTGCAACTTGCACTTGACTCCTTGCAACGGCTCCTTGCAATGACTCCTTGCAATGACTCCTTGCAATGACTCCTTGCAATGACTCTAATTGCAATGACTCCAATTGCAATGACTCCTTGCAATGACTGCTTGCAATGACTCCTTGCAATGACTCTTTGCAATGACTCCTTGCAATGACTCCTTGCAATGACTCCTTGCAATGCAATGACTCCTTGCAATGACTCCTTGCAATGACTCCTAGCAATGACTCCTTGCAATGACTCCTTGCAATGACTCCTTGCAATGACTCCTTGCAATGACTCCTTGCAATGACTCCTTGCAATGACTCCTTGCAATGACTCCTTGCAATGACTCCTTGCAATGACTCCTTGCAATGACTCCTTGCAATGACTCCTTGCAATGACTCCTTGCAATGACTCCTTGCAATGACTCCTTGCAATGACTCCTTGCAATGACTCCTTGCAATGACTCCTTGCAATGACTCCTTGCAATGACTCCTTGCAATAACTCCTTGCAATGACTCCTTGCAATGACTCCTTGCAATGACTCCTTGCAACGACTCCTTGCAATGACTCCTTGCAATAACTCCTTGCAATGACTCCTTGCAATGACTCCTTGCAATGACTCCTTGCATTGACTTTCACGATGATAATTCCTTGCAATGACACCTTGTAATGACTCTCATGAGAACAACTCAAGTGAACCCAGCGGAAAAACCCTTCGCCATGCTTTCGGGAAAAAACGGGTACCCTTATTCTAGCTTCTCTACTGGAGGACCTAGACTGTGCTTAAAGGGGCGATGGGGGGGGGAACTCAGCAGTTACCCTCCCACCAACTAACCTGGAAGTGCAAAAAGGAGGAAAGTCGTCATTTTACAGGGGTCTGTGCACAAACCCATGTTCGCTGTTGGGAGGGTAGTAAGCCTGCAGTTGCAACCCACAAAAAAACGCCATGGCTCTCAGTCTCCGTTCAGTGGGTCATAACCAGGCTTACTAACCACTTGCTAAATTCGGCCCTTTAAGTACCCTCCCACCCTTGCACAGGGTCCCTCAAAGTACACGAAATTTGAGCCAGTTTCAAGCTCACCCCTTCAAATCCGGATACAGCAGTGGTTTTAGAGATACCCCCCCACCAATTGATTAAATGGAACCAGCCGTTCGGGAGATGGTCCCTTTAAAAGGACAACGGTCCAAACCAGCTCCCCCACCTCCCCTGAACGTCAAGTTCCCATGTTAGTTGGTGGGAGGGTACCCTGCTGGTTCGATAGGCAGGGAATATCAGGGAATCATAAATGGAATTCTCTAGCTTTAAAACATCCCCGACTTGGTTTCTTTGAAGGGAACCGCCTGCCAGTTAACCCTTAAACAGTCATTCCCCTGAGCACACGCAAGTAAGGTTGACCCAGATTCATCAACCCCAGTTAAAAAGGAGGGGGTTCCCTGGGTGTGGGGAATCAGGCCACTTTTGGAGGGGGGCATTTTGCTATGTATAATCTGGGGTTGCTTGACTTGGGGTCAACCTTGCTAGGGTCTGGTAACAAGGGTTTTGTTTTGCCCAGAACGCTGGTGAAAGGGCACATCCCAAGACCACAGCTGCTTTCCAAGCATTTGGGCACTCCAAATCAGATGGTGGCATTTTCTGAGCTCGTGGAATTGCTGCTGGCCGAAGATGCGGATCCGGAGATCCGAAAATGTGGGTGGGAACGCTGCCTTCCAGCTTGCTCAACACTGTTTCAAACGTGGTCCGGCTTCGGAAGGTCGATGAAGAAGCTACGTGATAAAAATACGCCCGGTCGTCCCAGCCGACCGCCAGCCATGCTATGCCGGAAACAGCTTTTTTCCTCTCCCCCCCGAATACAACAACACCCCTCTGACTAATCCTGGAGTTGGAAACCGCCCAAAGAAACCTAAACAACATCTGCCAGGAAAACCCATGGATGTTTCCAATTTAGGCCACCTATGGTTTCCAGGTTCCAGGGGTTCACCCCGCCCAGCGAGACCTCACCCCGCCTTTCGGTCGGTCAGTCCCGGTCCCCGGTCTCCCACCAGCCCCCGTCGCAGGACCCGGCCTCGGACGAGGCGGTGCTGGGCCTGGCGTCGCTCAGCGCGCTGAAGCTGGTGGTGCGCTGCCCGGAGCGCCGCGTGGCCTTGGGCTGAAAAGCGGCGCGGGAGAAAGCGAGCGAGCGAGCGAGCGATGGATGGCGCGAACGCGTGGGGGGAGGGGATGGGGAGGGGGCGTTTGCGGAGGGGTTTTAGCGGATGGGGGCGTTAGCGGAGGGGAGGGGCGGCGGGAACGGGGAGGGTTGGGGTGGTTTGGGGGTGTGATGGGGGGGGTGCTTTTTTGGGAGGGGAAGGGGAGGCGGCTTTGGTTGTGCCATGCCCGTCATGTTTCTATTTGTGAGGGAACGTGCTTGAACATGGCCCAATAAACTGAATGGACAAACAAAACATGGGACCCAACCTGGCCTTCCCGCTTCTTTCAACTGTCAGCTTTCGTCCCACGCACCAACGGTTCTCAACCAGGTTAAAATCTCAACCTGGTGTTTGTTGGAACCACAGGCCGGCTGAAGTTAAGCATGGTCGAGCCCAGACTGCCAGACCGTGGGCATGAATTCAGCCAAGTTTTAGCCATCGGAAGCCGAAGGAGCCATTGCCACGGCACACATCAATTCACATCCATCGAGAATTCCCACACAAGACCGCAGGTGGTGCTGCGGTCAGCGGCCGCCAATTCCAGCGTTGCAGTGCGGGCCCCGGGCGCGTTGCGGGAAACCTGCCGGAGGGTAGGTGTAGGGCATTGGGGACCTTGCTGCCGGTGGCGGGTTGGTGGCACCAAATGGTGGAACAAAAGCCAGGCCCTGGGTCGCCTGGAAATGGAAACCATGGGGAACTAAAAGGCGGTTGAAACTTGAAACATGCATGAAGCAAGGGATTGGCCCAACCCTTGGAGAGGTGTGTTTTTTTCCCCGTTGCTTTTGTTTTTGGGGGGGTGCTGGCGAGGATATCACGCACCGCGTTCCCTTCGACGACGTCGCGAAGAAGGCCTTCGACCAACTTGGGGCCTGCCGGATGCATCCCCTATTCCAAAACAAGCTGAGGCCGCAAGTGGCTATTGGAGGAAATCAGGGTGAGGGGGTGAGGGGAGAACAATCAACCAGGACCGACTGCATTTCTTTTGGGCAGTCTGGACCTGCAGGTGGCGAGCGGCTCGATTCTGTCCCTGGTGCCGTCCGGCCCCCCAGCCGGGCGTTATGCAGAGCCACCGAACTTTCTTTTTGCGGGGGCGGCTTGCACGGCGAGCGGCACGGTGCAGCTCCACCTAAAAGTCCAGTGGCGTTCGTTTGTCCCTTCCTTTTGCGTAGAGTACCTGGTTAGAGTCATGGAGCGAATGGGTACTTGGTGGCTCCCAGCCATGCGGTTCCTTCGCTTTTTAGCTTTTGAGGGTTTAGTGGGGGTTTCTATGTACCCCACTAAAGCTATTTCGGGGAAGGTCCAGTTAAACCGACCTGTTCCACCAAAGTGCTTGGACTCGGGCCTGCGCGCCCAGGAACAGCATCATGGAGCAGGCTCGGGCGGGCCTCAGTTTCATAAGGCTCCGGTTTGCCGTGTTGCTTTCACGGCTGGTGCTTGGTTTAACCAAATCGGCTTGGACTCTAAGACCTGTTGGAAGCTCATTTTTTTTTCTTTTTTTTCTCTTGACCCTACGACCTGTTGTTGGAGCAGGGGCGAGGAGCAACAAGGTTTTCTGGAACACGCCTTTAGGACTCTGCGCCATGAAATGGGCATGTCGCTGCGGCGGTTTGTGAGTGACGTGCAGGCGAGCTTTGATGAGTACAACAAGTGCGCGGCTGATGCGGGGCGCAAGGATCGGGCGATTGAGCCCCAGTTGAGCTGACCACCTTAGAAAACAAGCTGAGTAAACTTTTCGCGGGTTGATTTCTTCATCATTTTGGTCAATGCCCAGAAAAGTTGAGTGGCGGAGGATATCAGCATGAGCTTTGCTCGAGCCGCCACGGGGTGAGTGTCGGGACTTGTTTTTTTTTTTTTTTTGGGGGGGGGAGGGGTCAATGGGCCCTTTTTGGGACTTTGCGGCGAAGACGACGACGCCGAAGACGCGCGTCCCCAGGTACTTCAGAAGCAAGAGCCGCGCTGGCGTCGCCCGACTCGATGGGTCCCTGGCGCTGTACGTGATGCCCTGTGGTGAGGACGGATGGGACGTGCGGTGCGGTCCAGGTCCTCCATGGCAAGAAACGCCGCTGAGTTACTGATAGTGTTTAATGGTCGTTGAAAGTCACTCAAAGTCACTGACAGTCACTAATGGTTGCCGAAAGTCGCTAAATGTCACTGAAAGTCACTAAATGTCACTGAGAGTCACTCGTTGATAGTCACCAATAGTCACTGAAAGTAGCTAGAAGTCACTAAAAGTCACTGCCAGTTACAAATAGTCACTGAAAGCTGCTAAAAGGCCCTGAACGCTACAGTCCCTGAAAGTCACTAAACGTTACTGATAGTGATGAACAGCCCCTGAAAGTTGCTAAACGCCCCCGAAAGTCGCTAAAAGTCCCTGAAAGTCACTAAAAGGAAAGTCGCTAAAAGCCCCCGAAAGTCACTAACAGTCAATGCTGTGCTCTTTCCTTGCCCTAGTCCTCCGAGTCCGCCTCTTTTACCCTGAGGACATCCCAGCGTTGAGAGACTCGCTCTACGCCCTGGGGCCGCACATTCCGCGGGCTGGATGCCTCATAGGCGGTTGGTTTGGGGTGTGTCTCGGTTGGTTTTGAAGGAGAACTCGGGGAAGCCCAAAGTTTGTGGCTTCCGATACTTTGGTGCATTTTGCTTGGATGTTAGGACTTTAACTGATTGCCAACTAATGTTTTTTCCATTAAGCCACCAAAAGTTAAACTTTTAGCAGAGCAGAAAGCAACCGAGTTTCACAAGGAGCGTAGTCCTCAGGTTGCCAAGGGTGCAAAAAGGGTGGTAGTTCAGGTGGGGTGCCAAGGGTGCTACTGTATAGGTTTCCCTGTGCAAAAAGGTGGTAGTCTCCGAAGAAGAGGAGCCAACGAGAGGAGGTCGCGGTTCCCTTCAGCGCAAAAACTAGGTCCCCCAGCAATTGGTGCCCTTTCTCACCCCCTTTTTTGGGGAAGGGAGGGCTCCCCTACTAAAATAGGCTACCGAAAAAAGTTGGCAGCCTTATTTCTAACCTCTCAAATCTGGAGGACGTAGAAAAGGTGGTACCCTCCACACAGATGAGCCAGCTGGAGTGGGCCTGGTCTGAGTGAGTGGACGAAAGATCCAGATGGGGTTGTCTCAATACAGGGGCAGCGCAGGTTTGCGGGTGTTTTCCCGAAGGTGCAGAGGGGTTCCCGTTTAGAGGTGGGGGGTCTGGGGGTTTGGGTTGTGACGAAGCTGCGTTGATTTGCCGCACGCGCCCGTGGAGGGTTTTGCGAGTCTCTGAGAGGACGTCGTTGATTTTTGTGTCTTTAAGAATTGGACGTCTGCAGGGGATGTCTTTGCCGCTGGCTTTGCGGTTGGGGGCTATCTTCCAAGAGTATCTCTTGGTTTGACCTTCGGGTGGCGATGGGTCTTTGGAAGGTGTCTTGTGTTGTGGGGATGACGTCTTTGGGATGCGTTTGTGGATGCCTTTGGGGATTGTTAACGGGGATGTCGTCACGGGGTCTTCAATTGAGGTTTGTCACTGCACGGAAGATGTCCTGAAGGGGTGTCCTAGTTTTTGTTTCTTCTTTCTCTGGTGGATTGTCTTTGGGGGCTATCGTTGTGGTGTGTCTTTGCGGGTGGCTTTGGGGGATGTCTTTGAGGATGTGTCTTTGGGACATGTCTTTGAACATATCTTCTGGGGATTTCTTCCGTAGTGTTTTTAGTAGGGGATATCTTTTGGAGCTGACTTTGGGGTTACATTGGGGTGCGTGCGGGGTCAGGTTCCTTTTGAAGGGGAGCTTTAAAAAAGATACGCCTGTGTTTGCCTTTAGGCTGGTTTGACTATGTCCCTCTGGCAGTCATGCAAAGAAGCGAGTTTCCTTGTGAAGGGGTTGTTGAGTGGTTGGTGGGGTTGTTGTTAGGGCCGAGTGTGGGGGTTGTTCGGTGGGAAGGATTTTGTTCCACCCCCGTTCAAAATCCTCGGGAAATTGTGGGAAGCCACAATCGCCCGCCAGAACAATAATGGTTATCCATATGTGGGCAGGGAGGCTGTAAGTCTATTCAGGGGACCGTTGTTGGTGGTTTGCAAGTTCATATTTCGGAGGGAATTCCTTGCTGGTGCTCAGTGGGGAATGTGGGAGTGAACCCAGGGGTCCCCTCAAAGGAAACCACGAGGGATGGGTTTATAAGCGTCATTCGAGATAAATCCCTGCTGACCAGCACGATTCGGAATGTCATTCAATCAGCACCTTCCAGAGGCTGACGGGTGCATGAAAGGGATTCTAGGCTTCCATCGCACGGAAGCCGGGCCGCAAAAGAAGGGCGGCTGAGTCTCGCGTACCGAAAAGACTTTCCCCCAGGTAACACACCCAACCCGCCAACCGCCATGCGTCTTCACCCATGGCAGGCCTCATTGGCCCTGGCACAGCAGCGGTGAACGCTCCGGCCAAGCCAGTGAAGCAGGCACGACCCCCCCCCCCCCCGCCGCTCTGCCGGTGCGCCTTCTGGGTCCGACCCAAAGCTTCAGGGGATTCTCGAAATGGCCTTCGGGTGGTTTCCCTGAAATCACTGTGGTGTGCAGAGCGGTTTCAAAGTGACTGTTTTTTTTGCAAAGAATCAAGTTTTTTCTTTAAACAATTGAACAGTGTCGGATCTTAAGGCCTCTTGGGGGTGTGAGTGGTGTCAGTCATGGTGTTCTGGAGCCTGCGTGAACTGGACGTCCCGCGAGTGGAGGTGGGTTCTTTGCCGCTTCGGCTCACAGCGGGAAGGCCGAAGCCACACGCTCGGTTTCGCAGACAGAGTCAGAAAAACGAGGCCCGAAAAGGGGAACCCTCCGCCGGATTCACGCAACAATCACCGGACATTTTTGGAGGTCGTCCCTAAAAAACAACTGATGTCGTCCCCCACAAAAGGGCCAACACAAAAACAACAACAACACGTGTCCTGGGCCCATTTCACCAGAGAAAAACCTTTCGGTCGAACCCTCCGCTTTCGGCTGAAGAAAGCGATGGCCATGGAGAGGCCTCCTTGGGCCGCCCTGGCCATGCTGTGCCCCAAAGACTGGCTGCCGGAGGGCTTCGACCGCGCGGGCAAGGAGGAAGCCAAACCAAAATGAAGACGATCCCTTCGACATTGTTGTCGTATGGAACCATTTTTCCCATTTTTGCTTGTTGTGGTTTAGTGGTTGAAATCCAACCACTTAACTGCTAAAATTTAAAATTTTTGCTCCCCTTCCAACGTCAACCAAGTCGAGGGGGGTTGTGTTGGGAGGCAACACCTAGGTAACAAGCAACACCTGCTTTAGGGGGTTTGCTGGGAGGGAAAAGCCAAGCATCACCCCGCTTTTAGGGGGTTTCCTGGGAAGAAAAAACATTAAAAAAAACGGCCTGCGAGGTGGGGGGTGGGGGTGGTGACAGGGCGCGTCTGTTTGGGTTAAAAGTTGGAGAGGAAGTGGGATTCTGAGAGGGCTGTCAAGCAAGACAAGTGAGCCCCCTCTCATGCGTGCAAGCCTGCGTCCACTTGACGAGAAAAAGTCACTGTTTTTTGGTTGCCACAGCCTCGCAGGACCACTGCGTCCCCCAGTAGTGCCCTTTCACCTTTTTTGGGAAACTTCTCTACTGGAGGACCTAGACCAAGTATAGGCTTGGTTGAAAACGGATGACACCGATTTCGCCAGTGGAATCCATCAATATGTGCAGAAGGACACGTAGGCATGTCACCAGTTGCCCATGCGCTTCAATGTCGAAGCTGATTGATCAATTCTGGTGGATTACGGGGTCCTTCATTTCTTCATTTCCCCAGCACCAAACGTTATCTTTGTGCATCCGCCGGATGCGTTTGAGCTGGAGTCCCTTCATTTTCCAGCAGCAAAAAACGCCATCTGTGGTCAAGTCGGATGCGTCTGAGAGCTGGTAAGCCAGTACGTCAGCAAATGGCTGTGGCAACCAAAAAACCGGAATTCCAAAATGGGTTGCCCTGGTAACTAAAAACTAGACCACGGTTGGCCCGAAAGCAGAACATCGCAAGCGAGGTCGGCCCAACGCTGCAGGATGCGTTCTTTTTCCCTACGCGAAGCATTTGTGAAGCAAGCGCGAGACAGCACCAGGCAAGGTGCTCTGCGCAAACTGGTCGGTGCAAGTTGGTCTGCGCAAGTTGCTCTACGCAAGTTGCACTGTGCAAGTTGCTCTGCGCAAGTTGCTCCGCGCAAGTTGCTCCGGCAAGTTGGTCCCTGCAAGTGGCTCCCTGCAAGTTGCTCTGTGCAAATTGCGCTCCCTGCAAGTTGCTCTGTGCAAGCTGCTCTGTGCAAGTTGCTCTGTGCAAGTTGCTCTGCGTAAGTTGCTCTGCGCAAGTTGCTCTAGGCAAGGCGCTCTGCGCAAACTGGTCGGTGCAAGTTGGTCTGCGCAAGTTGCTCTGTGCAACTTGCTCTGCGCAAGTTGCTCTGCGCAAGTTGCTTTAAAATGCAAGTTGCATCTTGCGACGCCCGCCCGCGGACCAGGGAGGAATCGAACCCGCGACCCGCCGGTTCCGGGAGCAGGCGCGCGAACCACGAGACAACTCCCGAGGACCAGTTCGACCAGTTCAACAACAAAAGTCGCAAAAAACCTCGAGGTTTTGCACCTCGACCACGCCGATCCCCGCGGAGGGTTGCGCGAGCACCGCAGAAATCGAAAAAAACCTCGAGTTTTTGCACCTCGACCACGCCGATCCCCGCAGAGGGTCGCGCGAGCAGGTTAAACATCGCAAAAAACCATGGGTTTTTGCACCTCGACCACGCCGATCCCGCAGAGGGTCGCGCGGGAACTTTAGAAATCGCAAAAAACCTGGGTTTTTGCACCTCGACCACGCCGATCCCCGCAGAGGGTGCGCGAGCAGGTTCGCGGTTTTTGCACCTCGACCACGCCGATCCCCGCAGAGGGTTAGAAATCGCAAAAAACCATGGGTTTTTGCACCTCGACCACGCCGATCCCCGCAGAGGGTCGCGCGAGCAGGTTAGAAATCGCAAAAAACCATGGGTTTTTGCACCTCGACCACGCCGATCCCCGCAGAGGGTCGCGCGAGCAGGTTAGAAATCGCAAAAAACCATGGGTTTTTGCACCTCGACCACGCCGATCCCCGCAGAGGGTCGATTTTCGTGTAGTGTCGTCGGCACTACCCCGCCGCCCTAAGAAGAGATTTTAACTCCTCGCAAGTCAATTGCACTTGACTCCTTGCACTTGCAACTTGCACTTGACTCCTTGCTTGTTTGTCATTGCAAGGAGTCATTGCAAGGAGTCATTGCAAGGAGTCATTGCAAGGAGTCATTGCAAGGAGTCATTGCAAGGAGTCATTGCAAGGAGTCATTGCAAGGAGTCATTGCAAGGAGTCATTGCAAGGAGTCATTGCAAGGAGTCATTGCAAGGAGTCATGAGAGCCATTGCAAGTTGCAAGGAGCCAAGTGCATGGAGTCAAGTGCAAGTCGCAAGTGCACGGAGTTAAGTGCAAGTTGCAAGTGCAAGGGCCAAGTGCAAGGAGCCAAGTGCAAGGAGCCAAGTGCATGGAGTCAAGTGCAAGTTGCAAGTGCATGGAGTCAAGTGCAAGTTGCAAGTGGAGTCAAGTGCAAGTTGCAAGTGCAAGGAGTCAAGTGCAAGTTGCAAGTGCAAGGAGTCCTTGCAATGCCATGACTCCTTGCAATGACTCCTTGCAATGACTCCTTGCAATGACTCCTTGCAATGACTCCTTGCAATGACTCCTTGCAATGACTCCTTGCAATGACTCCTTGCAATGACTCCTTGCAATGACTCCTTGCAATGACTCCTTGCAATGACTCCTTGCAATGATGACTCCTTGCAATGACTCCTTGCAATGACTCCTTGCAATGACTCCTTGCAATGACTCCTTGCAATGACTTTCATGATGATGATTCCTTGCAATGACACCTTGTAATGACTCTCATGAGAACAACTCAAGTGAACCCAGCGGAAGAACCCTTCGCCATGCTTTCGGGAAAACCACGGACTTCACCACCTGCGGTTTTGCCCCTCCGATCGTATAATTTTGGGCCCAGCCCGTCAGATGCGGCAGGACTACTGCGTTTGCTTCCTGCAGCACTCGCGGCGCGGCGCCTTCCCCGGTGGGCCTCTGACTTTAGCCGACCGGGCGCTGGCGCGGAGCGACGACCGTGAGGGGGAGGTCCGCTCCGGGGGGGGGGGGGAGAGCGGCTTGATCAGGTAATCCACAAGAGGTTGGTGGTTTGGATTGGTGGTTTGGGGACTTGAACCCTTGGTGTTGCGACTGTTTTTTTTCTTCTTTCTTTTTTTTTGAATTAGGGCTGATTTTCTTTACTAGGGCCTCTTTTCCTCTGGTTGGTTGATTGGCTAGTTTGTTGGTTGGTTGGGTGGTTGGGTGGGTTGATCCCGAGCACTGGCTACGTATTGGATCGGATTTGGTGTCAGTGAGGGTTGCTTGGGTTGGCTTGGGGTGAGTTCTAGGCTGGGCGGTTCAGGGTTGGCTTTGGATGGGTTCGGGTTGGCGCGCGGCTGATTTGTGCTAGGTGTGCGGATGGTTTAGCAGTGGCAAAAGAGGGTTGCGAGTTTTGGGCTGGTTTCGGATGGGTTTTGGAGCGTTGCCGCAAGCCAACACAACTAGCCCAAAACTCATCATACCCTAAAGCAATCCAACAGCCACTAAACCAGCCGCACACCTAGCACAAATCAGCCCATGTCAATCCAAAGCCACCCAAGGTCATCCGTTAACCTGGCCTAACCCCACTTCAAACCCACACCTAAGCGTTTTCCTTTGCACTCGTTTAGCATTAAAGAAAATCCACAGGTGGACTCAGCTCAGCCGGCTCGTTTCCTCAGATGGTCGCCTTTGCCCAAAGCCACTACTTTTATGGGACATTGCGGTATAAATCCTCCACATTATTTTGTACCCCCTTTACCGCCCCTAGTGGCTTGGTGGTGGAAACATCTTGGCGTGCCCCAAAGAAGGTCTTAACTCAGGGCCCTGTTAAGGCCTTGATTGGAGGGCCTTGATCGCATCGCTTCTTCTTGTAGACCTGCTTTTGCCTGAAACCTGCACGAGGCGATCCACCTTTTGAACTGAAGGGCGCCGCTTTTCACTGCTTTCAAAGGGAAACCAACATGAAGCCCTTGCCACTCGCAGGGCGCGTAAGCGAACGGTGTTAAAACCTCGGGGCCGACTGGGGAAAAAACAAGTCCAAGTCAGCTTCCAGGCAAAAACAAGCTATTCGACGCCGGGCCGTAGGCGCATAGGTGTCCTTTTTGGGTTAGTTTGGCTAGAACCCAATGGCGTTCCAGCTTGGATGCGGTTTATAGGCCATTTGCCAGGGAACCCCATTGATTTTTCCCAGTTTAGGCACACCTATGCACATGAAACCAGCACCACACGCTCCAGCCTGGACGCCTGGCCGTACTGTGGATGGACGGAATCCTGCACCACGCAAGAAACCATGGAATGCTTCGATTTCCCTGTCAATACCAACAAAGCTTATGGTTTCAACCATGGCTTCAAACTGGTGCGAAAATGGATTTCGCCACAGGTGCCCAAAACCTCACATCCAACCACCACACCTCGCCTGGAACCCGCCTGGAACCCGCCCGGAACTGGCCAGGTCTTCCTGGGCCTCCGCATCTGCGCGCTGCGCCGGGGCTTCGAGGCCACGGGCATGATGCTGGCGGCCAACGCGCCCCCCAGCTTCGCGCGCAGGGAGCTGCAGCGCCCGGGACGAAATCGCGCGAATCGCGGGGGCCGTTTTTTTGGAGTTGGTACTGGCGGAGGGGGGGAAGGGGGGGGGGGAGGGGAGGGGGGGCTAGTCTGTCCTTGGGCGAGCTTTTTTGTTGTTTTGTTTTTGTTTTTTTGTATCAGTGATGCAACGGGATCTTTGGCTTTACATGGGGGGAACATGTCTTTGGGAGGACTGTTTGTATCACAGACTCGTGGGTTCCATTCATATTCATCCATGTGCTGAAATGAACATTTGTTTGTTTTCCCTTGCTGGGTTTTAAAGGGAATCTATCACTACTGGACATTGTTTTTTCAGGGACTTAAGCAAATGGACGTACTGTGCATGGACAAGATCCATTTCGCACCACCGTTCAGAAGCCCTGGTTTCGGATGATTCCCCGTGGTTTGTCATGGGTTCAAAGTGGGGCAGGATTTCGTCCATCCCTAACTTAAAAACTGGGGTTGATTTATATTTGGGTCAACATTCACCCCCCCCTTTTTGGTGGCTTCAGCTTGGGGGGGCCAACCTTCAAAAAGGCACCTTGACCTTTCCTCATGGCAGCCGCTTTTGAAGGTCCGCAAAGGTGAGGAAACGTGATCATCGGAGAAGATGGTAACCCAGACCCGTCGCGTGGACAAACGGGGGGGGGGGTCTGAAAATAGGAGCCCCATTGAGAAAACCATGGTTCAAGAACCTCCTTCGGCTCCCCTTTGAAGGAGGAACCAGGGGCTAGAAGTTAACAAAGATTCGACCAACCAGGACCCTCAACAGCTCACACATTTGAAGTAAGAAGACGGTATTGTCAAGGTGCTGAGGAAGGCAACTTGACCAGATTAGGCCTTTTTAAGAGGGAGGTTTGCCCTTCTCGGGATTCTCAGGGCCACATCTAGTTCTTGGGCAAAAACAAGGTGAGGGGTGGGGTCCAACTAATTCTCTTGGTGATCCGGAGCAGCTTTCAGGGAGGGTTCGGGGTTTCCACAAGCCAAAAGGGCGACCCACCCACTTGGCTGGTCGCATCGAACTGGTAACAAACTTAAAAAAATCAGCCTGCTAAACAAATAACATCTCAACATCCAGCCCTTTTTGTCCTTCAGATCCCCTGGCTCGCTCCGGGCCCCCGGTTTTCGATGTGTCAGGAAGATCTTGCTGCGGGAGGGCCCCTTGGCTTTCCACGCCTTCTTGGACGATTGGGGTGCGGGGCTCAGAGCTCGGAACTGGCGTGTCACCGGCAAGCGACTCCGCACCCCGAGAAGCCCGGCGGAAGACCTGGCCGTGCTCGCAGCCCGAGCTTGCTCGGCAGGTTTCCGCGGTGCACCCGAAGCCAAAAAGGCGGAAGCCGCAAGGAGAAGACGGGGTCCAAAGAGACCCGCCCTTTCTCTAGTCCAGCTGCATGTCCCCGCAACTCCCCGAATTATTCGCAAGGTTGGTAGGCTATTCCACTTCCTGTGTGCCCAGGGGCAACAGTAAGGCCCTTTCTGATCATGTTGGCGCTGATCTGGGGGGTGGCTTAAGGCACAACTGCTGTCCTTGTTGCGGAGAGGGAGGGGCTTCTCCTTTTTGGGCAGCCGAATTTGTGGGGTTTCCCCTGGAGACATGGGGAGAGACGGAGAGGCATTCGGCTGCGGCCCTTCGAGTTGCTGGAGCTGTCGTGGCTTCTGAGCTCTGCCTCGCCGCTCGGGGAGGAGAGGTGGGAGAGCCTGCGGGAGAGCTGGGAGGAGGTCTGAGTTACCCTTTTTGGGGTTGGTGGGCTTAGGGTTTTGGGGGTTGGTTTCGGGTTTTTGGGGGTTGGTTTCGGGTTTTTTGGGGTCGGTTTTGGGGGACGGTCCCATGCGGGTTTGAGACTCGAGCTCACCGACCAAAAAAGCACGAGCTCACCGTGAAGGTCCTTTCAGAGCTCAACACCTTTCGTGTCAGGAGCACATCTTCCTGGCGCAGGTTCCCGATGCGGAGGAGGCGCTCTGGCCTCTGGCATTTGGGCCAGTGGGAGTTGGGTCACGAAGTGCCGGGTGTGTGGAGCTATCTTTCAGGGACACCAACTAATTGTGGAGTTCTTAAGGGGGGGGGGTGTAAGGGGGGGGGGGTAATTTGAAAGCCCCCAAGGCTCCCCAGCACTTCCTAGAGCTCCTTAGCTGCTTTCATCAAACCTTCCCGTGGGGAGTTGGACTCCTGCGGGGTTTGAAAATGATGCCCAGGTCAAGCTTCTAGCGGGGACATGGACATCGCCAAGTGTCCCAAAGCTCAACATGGGGACAGCAGATTACTCGCCGGCCGCCAACTGGCAGAAGTGCAGAAAGCCGCAAGCAGAAAGCGGCAAGCAAGCGCCAGCTAAGAAGCAAGTGAGAAACAAACGGAGCATATATACCACGGATTTGTCCAAATGGGTAGAGAAGGATCCCGCTTCCTTCCTACCGGGGCCCTTTTTGGAGCTTCTGGGAACCCCCACTGCAGCTTCAGGGTTTTTCCCCAGAAGAACTATGCATTTTCTCTTTGGTATGCACTGCGCAGCTCCTTGCCAGCATCAACAGGAACACCGCAACGCCCCTGCTTTTAAAAGGAGGCACAAGGCGGCACCAAGTCCCCCAAAAAAAGGCGTCTCACTTCCGAACGAGTGATTGGACAAAAAGAGTAGCCAAACTTGTTATTTACCACTAGCTTGGTCCAAACCCAAACAGTTTAAAGTCCAGGAGTTTTAACTTGGGAAGTGAGAACCCGAGACCTTTGGTGTGGATTGGCCTTGGCTGTGGGTGAGACATTGGAGAACCCCAAAATGGACGGCTTGGCCTGGTGAATAAAACCAAGGACTAAAACCTGCGGTCCAATTCCTGGCGGTTTGGTTTTGACCCGAGCCCTGCTATAATTCTTGTTACCGGGCTACCGCGGTTTCTCAGTCGAATCCAACAGAAAAGGCTCCCGAGCCACAGCGCCGCCACTGGAAGCTGCGAAGATCAAACAGCCAAAAGCAGGGGTTCCTACGCCTCAGCCCATCCCAAAAAGGGGGAAACCCCCACGTTTTCACCAGTCCGGCGCCTTTTTCTTCCTTTTCTTCCGGAAGCGCTGGGCCTTCGGCGCCTCCTCCGGGTCGCCCGGACCTGTAGCTCCACTATTGGCATGGTGTTTTCTAGGTAGTTCTGTTCATGCCTGGGGGGCTGCAAAAAAACGAGGTGTTTTGCTGCTAAAAGCTTTTCGCTTTTCGCCGAGAGGCTGCCTGGGCGGCGGGGGGCGAAAACGTGCGCCTGCGCTGGGCCACACCCAGCCGGCTGCTGCAGATGCATTCGCGCCAGGAGGTGGAGCTGACGCTGGCGCAGTGGCGCCTCGAGGAACCGGGGAGCTCGTTTTTAGTTTTTGTTTCCCGGTGTGGATGTGCTCTTTATTTTTTTTGGGGGGTGTCAGACTGTTTCTTCTTTTTTTGGAGGGGGGGTGGCGGGGAGGGAGGTGGGGGTGTCAGACGATAAATCAGAAGCGGAGAATGCGTTCTTTTCTTTTGTTGGTTCTTTTTTGGGGTGGGTGGGTGGGTGAGTGGGTGGGTGGGTGGGTGGGTGGGTGGGTGGGTGGGTGGGTGGGTGGGTGGGTGGGTGGGTGGGTGGGTGGGTGGGTGGGTGGGTGGGTGTCGGACCAACCCCCTATTTATCATGTACCCCTTAACTGGGGTTTTGGTTGGTTTGAGGCTCCTTTTGAAGCCAAATGTGAAGTTGCCTTCGACAATTTCGAAGATTTCCGTCATCCGTCCACTGCAATACGGGCCATGAGTGTCTTAGCTGGTCTTTGGTGTGACCTTGAGCTCTTTACACCTTTTGGACACAAATGGCTTTTCCACTAACCTTTTGCTGGGAATGCTCTCCAACCCGGGGTCCAAGGAGTGTACACCAGTCAGCAGCAGCCCTGCGGGTGCTTGAGCAACTCCTTTGTAGGTTTGAAGGCTGACTAGTGGAAGCATTGAACTGCGAGGTTGACACAGTGGTTTGGTAACACGCCCTCCAAGAAACGCGGGGGGTAGCATCAATTTCAAGGTCTTCTCCAGAAGTATGTTTCTATTTTAGGGAGACGAAACATGAAGCAGACGTTCAGCTTTTCTCTCATTGGCGGTTTGGAGCTTCGAAGCTGTCCCATTCCTCCACAAGAACCAAGAGGTCCCAAGCCCTCCACCAAACCAAGCCACCAAGGGGCAGGTGAGAGACTTGATTTGATTTGCATAGTGTATGGCAAGCTCATTTGGGGGGAAAACGAGCTCACCATGGTAAAGATCCTTTACTTGGGGATCCCTTTTTCAGGTTTTGACAGTTTTACAAAGAGAAAGTGTGCGTGTGTGTGCATGAGTTGTATATTCCGGAAGCAACCAAACACTGCAGGGCAGTTGTGGCGATCGTTCGTGGAACATCCTGGAGAAACATGAATGCAATTCTTATTATTTTGTGGCTTATGCTGCTGCTTGTCAACCCTGAGATCCAAAGCCGCGCAAGTCGCAGGCCTGATTTTTGGTGCAAAGTCGGGCCTCTGGTGACGTTAGGTATGTGTTGCACGAGCTGGCTTCGTGCCTCCCACGGCTGGTGGGCTTGCCGGAGCTTCAAAGAGCCAACGACGGCCCCTCCTGCCTGTGGACGGCCAAAGCGCTGAAACTGGTGCCCGCGAAGTCGCATGGCCGGCATGTTATTTTCATTATTGGTTTGATCATTATGACTATTATTGTTGTTGTTATTGTTATTGTTACTGCTATTGTTATCATGATTTGTTACTATTATGTTTATTATTATCATTATTAATGTTTCAAGTAACGGGCTTCAAAGTGTTTTGTGCTACCATCCCAGAGTCTCAAGGGTTGGACAGTTTAGTTCTTTCTATTTTTGCGGTTCTGTTCATTCTTAGTGGGTTGCTTGGAGGAGGGCTTGTTAAACACAAAAAACGGCTTGCTGTTGCATTCGTATTGGACAGCGTCTGTTCTGGGCGGGCCCTACAGGTCTTTGGTGTGACTGGAGCTCATAGCAACCCAGGTCCGGGCCCAAATGCTTGCTGCTGCCTGGGGACGAGGACAGCCAACTAGGTGGTACCCCCTTCGAAACCCTTCCCACCCCCCCCCCCCCAACAAAAAAACACAAAAAAACAAACCGGCCCAACAAAAAGAGAAAACCAACAGCCCCGGATCCGGGATCCTTCAATCCAGAAACCCACCTCAAAATCAGCGAAAGGGGCCAAGAAAAGAACCATGGCTTCTGCCCTCAAGCTGGGGAGCCTCGTGTTTTTCACACCGAGTGCAGTTCTACTTGCGCGCGAAATAAATAACCCATATTTGTCCCCATTTACTCACAGGAAGCCCAATGGAGATGGGTAAATTTGTAGCTCCTCATATCCCCCCCTCTATCCCCCCCAATATCCACCCTCCCCCATATCCCCCTCCCCCTCTATCCCCCCCTCCCCCATATCCCCCCCTCCGTCCCCCCCTCCCCCACATCTCCCCCACATCCGTTTCGCCCCGAGCGCCGTGGTTTTGCCGTGGGGTGTTGGCAGAGGAGCACCCCGAGTGCCCTGGCGCCAAGGGCCAACGCCACCGCTTCCGCCTGCGCGCGGGCTCCGAGGCGGGGTTTCCCGAAAAAAATAGATAAGGGGTCCCTGGCGAGTGGTGGACACAAATCGGGTCTATGTGTCAACCTCCTTCTTTTGGGGTAAATTGTTTTTTAGGGTTCTTGGCTGCAAAATAGACTCGGGGTGTCCATGGCACGTCCATCCATCCCCAGCCCCAACAAGAAGAAGAAGAGGCCTCCTGGATTTTTCGAGGGAAGGGCAACACACGTCAAAGTGATATCAAGGGCGGTTTCAGGAAAACACGTGCAAATCCATGCAAGGCGGTTCGGAGTTTGGAGCGCTCCCGGCTTTGAGTTGCGACGCGTTAGGCTCTGGGTGTCGTTTTGGTGAGTTTGGAGGACAAATGGGCGGATTCAATTTGACCAAGAGCGGGGCGTGGAACCTGGTTTTGCATGTTGGAGCCCTTGGCTGGTTTTGGGGACGGATCCTCATGTTTCAGTGAAGCCCACCCGCAAGTCATGCTGGGCAGAGCAGGGCTTTGCAATCAGCATGCCATCCTGCTGCCTTCTTCAGGGGCCTTGCAGCATGCCATAGAACTGCTGGGCCCAGTATGATGTTCAACCCGCTCAGCAAGTAGGTTGTAAGACAACAAATTAACCTGCCCGACCTGTACGAATCGGGACCTTGCTCACAGAGTGGGCTGAACATCCGCAGGGATGCCAATTGTTTGCCAGATTCACCAGGAGGTACCGCTGCGCAGCTCGGCTCGCCGCTACCGCTAAGCAGTGCCACGGGTTTGAATCACGAAGTCTTTTACAAGGCGCCTTGCCAATCTCTTCCGGCGCACGTTCTCCAGGATTCCCAATACTTCCCTTGGGTAGCAAGCATCACATAGCGCGACATACTGTGGATGGACGAAATCCTGCACCACTTGGAAACCATGGGAAACCGTTTACAGGGAGGAGCCATCCTTTTAGGGTTTGCCAGGTGGTGCAGGATTTCGTCCATCCACAGTAGCGTCACCTTTTGGGCTTTTTGTGTGAGAGCCTACCTTGGCGTTTGTTTTGGGGAAGTCTCGGGATCCCTGTCCAAACTGACCTGTGGGGTCCTAGCAATGCGGCACGTTCCAGCAGCCAATGGCACGCCGCAAAGGGACGTCCCTCGGGTTGAGAGTTCCTCTAGGATCCCCACATCTCATCCCAGAGTTGCGATGGCGCGAGAGTTCAGCCTCGGTCACCGCAAGACGGCGAAAAAGGCGAGACGCTGCTTTGTAGAGAGCAGACTTTATCTTCTTTGGGAAATACAGGTGTTTTCCACTAAACCCCCAAAAAGTTTAACTTTTTGCAGGGGGGTGAAGAGCAACCAAGCTTTGAGGGAAAAACACATCTCGGGTGCTCTGTTTGCCCGAGGGGCCTCAACAGGATTGATAGGACGGGTCATCGCAGTGTTGGCTCAAAGTCAGCTGTGTCTACGCTGGCTGCGGCTTTGGCGGGGCGTTAAGCCCAGAGCAAAAACGCGTGCGCTAGCATTTCGGGGGCCTTTGCCTTCAAGTTACCTCGAAGGGGTGCCTTAGCCTCCACATTCCCCATACCTCCCACAGCCTGCTCCCACAGCCTGCACGAAAATGTTCTCTAGTCGGTGGCCACTGTAGATGGCGGCTGCCGCATGTCTCGATTATGCTGGTCCACCCGGGATGAACGAGCACCTCAGCTCACCCGACCGTAGCATTTCCGCGTTCTTGTCATAAGAGCACGTCTTTTGTTGGGAAGCCTTTGGTTGGTTGTGCTTTGGCACGCCAAAAGCCAACCATTTTGGGGAGCCCTGACTTCAAGCAAAGCCCAGATAGGACTTGTTTTGCCTTTGGTTTCTTTAGTCGTCAAGCCCCTGTGGGTCACTGGGGGCCACAGCCTCCAACCGACCTGTTGGCGTTGCCACCGGCAGACCGGCGGACCGGCGGGGGCCTTGTTTGTGACACCGACCCACCCCCAACCAGGGGGTTGTGAACCCCCAGCCAGGGGTTTGTGACATTTTCTGCATGGCATGGGCGTGTCTCCTTTTTGGAGGGCGCCGTTTTTTTTTTTGTTAGGTAGGGGGCCCAAACCCGAGGGACCACCATGGGTCAGAATCCCTGCGCGTGTTTCGAGGTCTACCTCGCGATCGGGAAGGGCTGCTTCGGCTTTGCGCCTTCGGATTCGGCGCTGACGCACCTCTGGAGCTACGAAGGCTTCCTGGAGGAGCCAATGGGATGGCCTCGTGGCAGTGACGGGCGCAAGAACTTGATGGGTTTTCTCCACTTGCAGGTCTTGGGCGGTTTAGTTGTTAGATTTTTTGATTGGCATCCGACCCAGCCATCGCCTCAGGTTTGTTGTCTCGACCCAGCCATCGCTTTAGGCCCGCAAGCCAAAGGGTTTGGTTGCCGTGGGTTGGGACAGCCGGGTTCTTTCTCCCCACTCCCGAATCGCAGTCCCTGGGACCAGCGTCAGGAGTCCCGTTTTTTTTTGGAAACTCCTCTCACCTGCCCAAGGCCGGCCTTTCAATGGTTTTCCCATGTCGGGATCCCATTTTTGGTCGCCTATTTCTGGCTTCCTGAGGCTTTTTGTGGGGCAACTGAGTCTGGCTTCTTTTCTTTTTCCATCCCCCTTTTCTCCCAACAGCTGAAAGCTTTGGGGTCTCAGCCCAGATAGGCTCCGGGGTGGTCCGGGGCGGCCCTGAGGTAGGCCCTGAGGTAAGGTTCCACCAGGGTTCCACGAGGTTCTGCGAGGGCTGCGAAGTGGTGCGAGCACTACAAAAGAGCACCGCAGTTGGGGATATCACCTGAGCTTATTTTTCTTGCCTACCTGGTAAGCAACAGCTGGGACCCCTCTTGGGGTCCAGCTGATGCCTGCAGGATACTCGCGTGGTTGTGGAGGGCGCCTCTGGTCTGCTGGCAGTGTCCTCTGGCCGAAGCATCCACATCATAGATCCCCTGAGCCCTGTCAAGCCACGGGTTTCTTGGCTGGACGCGCACAAGGACGGGGACGTTTTTTTTTTTTTCAGTGTCGAATCTTTTTGTTGGACCGCTTTCTCCTCATTTCCGGGGTCGGTTTGATCCGCGAGTTCCCTTCAGAGGTTGGTGCTGCGAGAATTCCCTTGTTTTATCACTTGAGAGCGCCCAGAACTATCGTTCGGCCTCCTTTGCTGGAGAAGGTGTTCGTTGTTTAAGGCTTGCGTCTAAGGCTTGCGGCCCATTTCATGCTTCCCAGCCGCTTGTCAGGACACCATCTATGCCTTGCACTTCACGGAGACGGGGCTGCTCTTTAGTTCCGGGAAGGCGCCGGGGCCCGCAAGGGGGCCTTGTCGGGGGAGGTTCGGTTTATTTTTTTTGGGTTCTGTCCAGTAGCGGCCACAAGGCACGCAGTTCTTGGCTTGCAGCCGTTGCAGCACGGACCCATTTGTGGAAGCCTTTTGTGGCGGCATTAGAGTATGTCTTTTTCTTGAAAGCCTAGATCCCCTAAACCTGAGGGACATGGGCCATACCCGGAGTTCATGTTCAGTGGGGAGCGCTTCATCAGCAGTTCGGTTGGGTCATTTGGACGCGGAATGAGCCAACAAGGTAGGGGCTCGGTGCGTCTGACGTTTGAGAAATCAAAGGGAAACCACTGGGCTTCAGGATGTTTGTTCTGTGTTTTCAGGGGGCACTTCGGGGACTGTTTCCAAACAAAAAACCGCCATTTCAAGAGAGCTTCCTTTTGGTCAAGTGGGACAAGGAATGCTCACCTTTGGTGTCTGGGCGGGGCGGGGGGGGGATGGTTGGTTCTTGCCGCCTGCGAAAGAGTCACAGGATTCTGGAGACAACCTTTCCATAAGAGCGGTCCTAGGATTTGAAGCAGGCCAGAGACTGAGGGAACTTCTTTGTCAGAAAGGCAAACCACGCGCCAGCACGTTTTTTTTTTTTTCCGCTTGGTTTCGCTTCAGCACATCCCCCCCCCCATTTCCGGGGCCCCAGAGAGGCTCTCCGGACGCTCGGGACTCGCTTCACCCCACCCAACCAACCCACCCACCAACCGACTGACCAACCCACCCACCCCCGCTTCTCCCGGCCTCGTCTCCCGGCGCCAGGACTGCTGCGTGAAGGTCTGGGAGATCGAGTCCGAGGAGCTCTCGCTCTTCGGGTCCAAGCCGGAAGCGCGCCCCGGAAGGAGAGCACAGCGAAAGGCGCTGGGGAGCTCCACCCGTTCTTTTTTTTGGGCTGCGTGGCGCCATTTGGCTTCTTGGTGGGGGCCTTTTTTTTAGATATAAAATAAAATAAAATAAAGAACAAAAAACAATAAAACTAAATAACATAACAAACATCAGCAAACAACTTTCTTGGTGGTGCCATTTGGTTTCTTGGTGGGGGCTCTTTTTTTTTCGGAAATCAAACATAACCTTTCTTGGTGTTTTTTTTTTTTTTTTAGAAAGAAACTCGCAGGGTGGCAATTTTTGGGGTGGTTGCAAGGGACATCAAAAGGAGCTGCGTATTGTTTTTTGTTGGGGAAGCCCGATCCTATTATGAGGTTCCGTCAAGATTTGAAAGGTCGGTGTGTTTGTTTCAGGAAACCCTTTCCGTGGTTTCAAAAGAACAGACGAAAGGGACACCAGCCAAACATGGGAGAGGGGGGGGCCCCTAACACAGGACACTCAAATCGGAAACAAGTTGTTTATTTTTTTTGGTTGGGGGGGAAACCAGATTTGAGTCTGTCTTGTTTGAGGGTGCCCCTCACAATAAGTATGAGTTTTGGGCTTTCCCGTTAAAACACTTCGAAAGGGTAACCTCAGAGAAGACGCCCTGCCTAACTTGCGGAGTTATGAAGACCTTCGGAGTTGAAACGTTGGGAGAGGTATCCTTCGTACCATGCAGAGGCCATGGCATAGTCGCTTTCAGGCACGCGTCCCTTTGAGCCTTTTCTTCTGTTCCGGGAGCCTGCGCTGTTGAGTTCGCCCCTTCCTTTCCTTGGCATAGGTATCCTTTTTGGTTGGTTTGCTTTAAAAATGGAGGGCGATTCCTGGTTTAGATGGGGTTTAATTATGACCCATTTACCAGGGAAACCCATCGATTTTTCCAATTTCGGCCACCTATGTTCCTTGACTTCTTCATGCCTGCAGCTTGGGAACGAGCCGTGAGCGGTGCACTTCCCACTTCTCGCCTGAGGACGCTTCAAGAAATTGCGTAGTCTTTGGCGAGCTCACCGGTTCGGTCGTAAACCAGCTCAAACCAAGGTAGTTTACTTGGGAATCCAGTTCTTATTTCAATTTTTGGAATGCGATCAATGGCAACCCGGCAACCAGGGAACGGAAGTCTCATGGAAAGAGGGGCTGGGCCAGGGGGAGCCGTCAGAATGGTTTTGTTTGATTCTTGAGGCCCAGCTGCGAAACACGGGTGTGTTCTTTTGAGGCGCAGTAGCTTGGTCAGCTAGCGGTTTTCTTGGACGGCTGGATTTTTGGGGGTGCCCCCCATTTGACAGATACCCATGGAAAGATGATTTGCCCAAAGACGGGCAACTTGGTGCTAGCAGCCCAAAGGACTAGCGACTGCATTCTGCCACACAATAGCTTCCAAGTAAGGCCGGCTTATAACTACTTCTGTCAATCCTAGCAATGCCTACTATTTTCCAAGGAAAGAGATGTTTTCCTCGGACCGACTCCAACGCAGGTGGAATGTTTTCTTTAAGGCCCTCGCGTTATTTGCATATGTCCAAAAATCATCGATTTCGATGCACTTGTTCATTTGTTCTGGACCCGTGCAAGTACGAATCTCCACGCCAGTTGGGGAATAGGAAGCCCGATTTGCATACTGCCTGGTAAACCACAAATCCCAATTTGGTTCCGATCGGCGTGGAGTTTTGCAAAGTACTCATCAGCTGTTATCACATGGCTGTGCCCCTCGCTGTGACCATCCGCTGCATGTAGCACCGAGGCACCGCAGTTGTGTGTTGGGCCTGCAATTCAACGCAGCCAGCAGGCGCGATGCTCCAAAGCAGCTGGGAGTTGCTTATTCGAGGGAGGGGTGAACTTGAAATGGTGTTTGGGCCTGTCCCAGTGGCACCCTCCACGGTGATAGTTTCCTTTTGGTTTCCCTCTTCAAAAGAAGAGAAACGACACACCCCTCACGTCGTTGTCCTTTGAGTGTGGGAATTCTCTTCTTCAAAAACCTGCGAGCTCTGCGCGGGGGGGGGGGGCAGCGGGGGGTGGTGGGGGGGTCTGTTGCAGGCTGCTCATCACCGCTGGCATGGACGGGCTGCTGCGGGTCTGGCGCCTGGCGGCTCGGCGCCGAATCGGCCGAAGCCTGGGGCCTGGGGGAGCCGAAGATCGGATCCGATTTGGCTTCGGCTCCCCGGAGCCAATGGGACGAATGAGGGAAAAGCCCAAACCAGCCCAAAAAAAAACGCCAATTGGACGCCAAATGAAGGGCTAGCCAAAAAAAAACCCGCCAATTTGAGGGGTAGGGTGATACCTGGAGAATAGGCGCAGCTGGCGCGCTTGGTTCATTCCTTTGAGGGGTGCCTTGAATGATGCCTTTGGGCCAATGAAGCAATCTGCTTTAGCGGCTGATTTGGGAGAGGGTCTCATGGTCAAGCAGGCTTTGGATCCCGGTGAGTCTTACCTCGCGGTTTTTGAAGCAGGTGGGACAATTTTGTAGTCAGGAGGGGTTGCATTTGGACTCCTTAGGGGTCGTTGTACATCCCGTTGTGGACAGCTTCAACATCATTGGAATTTGTAGGTGTGCGTGTGTCTGTGTGTGTGTGTGTGTGCACTTTTGGTGTGGTGATGTTTGAAGGGGACTTAGTGCGAACCCTGCGTTTGGGAAAGCAAAGGGTGGGGGGGGGGCAGTTTTGGATCAGTTCTGAGAACACTGCAAATTGCTCCCGCGAAGGACCAGCAAGCTTTTGTGAGACAACATGCAGAATAATCCCTATTCACCAAACTTTGCCCCATGGGTTACTCAGTCAACAACCCGACCAGCCCCATTGCAAACAGACTCCTTGAGGATTCTAGGAAAGTGCTATTGGCCCTTGGCCCACAACGACATGGCTCCATGTCTTTTCTTGTGTGGAAAGAAGTCGCCTGGATTGCGAGGAGAACACCGGCGCCTTTCTGCCACTGGCCACTTCCGAGCAAGCGCAGAAGGAGGGAATCCTGTCGCTGAGCGACTCGCCGGACTTTTCGGGGGAGCGACGAGGGGGAGGGAGGGCAAGGTTTTTGGATGTTGGCTCCAGGAAGGTGGCCACCTTAGTTACAAACCACTCATCATAAAACTTATCAGACTTATCATGAAGCTGCTACCACCTCCTCCCCAAACACACCTCCAGAATTGGTTGACCCTCATCTTGCCAAGGTGTGCTTTGCGGGGATCCCTTTTTTGGTGGGTTCGAGTCAAAGCCCAAGTTGGCGCCAACCGCCTGCGGCTGAGCTGAGTTCCCTTGGAGGATGGCTTTCTGTTGGGGGTTGAAATGGGGAAAGGCAGCTGCTTTCGGGGTCCCCTACTTGAAGCACTCGCACCGTTCTAGGGCTACCTTCCATTTAACCATTCCATGTAACCATTCTTAACCCAGGGATCCGAATCCTTTCTTCTTTTCAGGAAACCATCAAGCACCCAGGGAAACAGAGCCGGTTTTTGAGAAAAGGACGATGGCTGAAAAGAATGGGGAATCAACTAATCAACCCCTAGAACTGTTATGAACTTTCGGTTGGCTAAGGGTGGAGCATCCGAAAATTCCATTTGTAGCACCTAAATGTTCCCCTCGTGCCGGGGGGGTCCATAAACGGGTCAATCACTGTTGGCTATGTTCGGCCTGTTTTGGGTTATGAGGCAGGCTCTCCAAAGTTGCAACGCTTTCCGGAGAAGCTCGGCTCAACCCACGATTTTGGGGGATGACTTGGTCATGCCCCAATCGGAGATCATGTTTCAAACTCAAACATGGCCTTCATGTTGGCCAGAATCAGCGTAACAAGTGACTTGAATGATATGACCAGTGGGGCCGTTGCGGTCATGCGACGCTACCCATGCTCGTTAACTGATGTGGTGTGTGTGTGTGTGTGCCTTTTTGGGGAGCCGCACGCCGCACGCCGCGGCTTTTTTTTGTTGGGGGGTGGAGGCAGGGTGGCGCCCAAAAGGATTTTTTTTTTGGGGGTGGAGGGGTCCCAGCAAAAGGTGTTGTTTTTCGGTTCTTGGTCTGGGTTCCAAGAAGATGAGAGCACACCTGCATGAAAGGCACGAACCTGGAGTCCAATATCTCCATCACTGGTGGATGCGACGGGTCTTTGCGCATATGGCGCTTCCAGCCTGGTGCGCTGCACATGTTGGCCTGCGAGGAGGGGCTTCGGAGAGGGAGTCCAGGGCCAGCGTGCCACTCCCCCATGAGCCCAAAGGGTCTGATTTTGGCGGGGGGGGTAGCTGAGCAACGTCCAACCCCGCGTTGGCTGTGTTCGTAGTTGAATCATGTACTTCATTGGCCCAGACGAACCTTTATGACCAAAGTGAGTGGGTTCTCGGTGCTGCTCAACTGAGAGTATTTACCAGCTGTGAGCAGGGTTTTGGCGAGCATCCCTTGGAGAGAGACAAGCAAAAGATGGTTCACACGAGCACAGGCACACCCACACACACACACACACCTTCCCATCTTGGGGGTTAAGCAATTTTGCTTAAATCTTTGTATAGCAAGCTTTTTTTCATCCTTAAACAGAGGCTGAACTGTCCTGCCCCGAAATCGCTACAAAACCCTTCCACTTCTGATCCCACGCTGAAGCAATGCTGGTCGTTGAATGGCAAGCACTTTCTGGGGAGGTCTTAAACCGAGGGGAAACCGAAAAGGGTCAAAGGAGACGATAGAACCAGGCATGGGCAATTTGCAGATTTGTTTTGGCCATCTTAAGGCCAGTGATTCCGACGCTGCGGGGGTCAAACGCGCTCACCCGCAAAGTGTTGTTTGACCTCTGTTCCAAGAGCATGTTGAAGGCATGGGTTTCAAAGGTGTGCTTCTTTGCCACAAATAGGCGTGTGCCAAAGTGGGGATTGTCTTTCTTGGTGGTGCCCATCATGTTTGGTGATTTGTTCAACTTGAAATCCCAAAGGACAACCGAGATCCATTTTGGGGGTCCCCCTAAAAAAGAGGTAACACCACCTTTGTGCAAAAGGAACACCCCATATTTTTTTTTGGTGGGTTTCATGGTCCCCTCAAAAAAGACGAGCCACCCAAGTTGTACATACCTCGCCCTCCCACCCCCTCGCTCCGAATGCGCCCGGTGCGCCGAGCCGCGCGCGCAGGGTGAGGTGCACCAGGGCTGGGTGCGGTGCTTGCAGTTCGATGCGCCCAGCGGGCTGGTGATCAGCTCGGGCGACGACGGCGCGCCACGGCCGACCTTTTGGTTTTCCCATTGTGGGATCCCAAGTTTGGTGGCCCCAAAAGGTGATCACCTGGGCCCCTAAGGGGCAGCTGAGTTTTTGTTGCGGGTGAGGGGAAGGAAGTCAAAACCGGATGCTGCCATGTGTTTTTTTTTCCTCTCTTGTTTCTCTCTCTCTTTTTTTACGGATCGCGTATGAGCAGGATCAAAGTAAGATGGGGTTGAGAGACTCCTCAAGTGACGAATCCCCCACAAATGGGGGGCACCCCTCATTGATTGGTTTCCGTGTTGAGGGATGCCTGCCGACCGTCGCCTTGGGCGTCTATGGTCCACAGGGTCAGCTTTGGGTCCTGCCAGGTTTGTGGTTGCCCTTGCCTCGTCATGTGAGAGGCCCGGGTATGCACGCCATGTTGCCGTCAAGGCGTGCAACCGGCCAGTTGCATGGTGAACACGTGGCCGTAGTTGTGGAACGCTGCAACCCTGCACTTCTCAAGACGCTCCCAAGTGCATGGCGGGTGGATCGGATTGGTGCAGGCAGGACTAAGCGCCATGTCCTGCCGTGCCCGTAGTGATAGCCACATCTCCCGCATGTTGACAACTGGGTACAGCCTGACACGCTTGCCCAGCCAGCTTACTGCCCAGTGTCTTTTGCCTGGCAGGCGTCAGCATGGGCACCTCTCAAGTTCTTGAGGGCCAGTGAGCTGTCCCAAAGCCACCGGGTGTAAGCCGTGCTTAGTAAGCCGTGCTTAGGCGCCTATACGTTGGGCGCCTTCTTAAAGCGACCCAATTGATGAATGGAACTCCCAAAGACCAACCTGCCCAGCCAAAGTTGTGCCTTCAGATTTGCTTGGTGCTAAAAAACCGCTGGTGGACGTATAGATTTCCATGTGCTCAATTAAAACATGTTTTTATATAGATGGGGACATTGACAAGTGGACTGTTTTGGTGGAGACATTGCACGGAAGTCTATCCCTCCACAAACCATTTTCGAAGGCTCCTTCAATAAAGCAACGATTAAGAGGGGAGACACCGGTTTTTCTGTGAATCCATCTCATTCCCAAAATTCCCAAAAGGGCACCGGTGCAACACACTCAGGTGTTCGGGGGACACTTCAGCCTCTTTTTTCTGGGGCCCCAGGAAGCCCAATGCAATCTGCACCTAGGACATCCGAGTATTTCAATTCAAGGACCCGGTGTCGAGCAGCGAGTTTGGGTTTCTCGATGTCGACGGCGCCGGGCTTGCCCAGGTCCCCAGTAGTGCCCCTTTTCCCCTTTTTTTTGGGGAGGGTTCCCCTACTGAAATAGACTACAGAAAAAAAAGGTAACCTCTCTACTGGAGGACCTAGTTGTATTTCGTCTCGGTTTTCAGGTTTGGGGCTCTTGTCGCCAGGCTATTTTGCATGTTGGAGTGGCGCAGGTTCCAGCGGCCAGCACAGAAAACCACAGCTGAAACTTTCGTCAAGAGAGAGCGTGTCCTTTGACAGGAGGAGCAATTGTTCCGCTTGTGACTTGGCTGCTAATTGCTTGGATTATTGAAAGTCACTTTGTGGGGAAGGTGTTTGCAAGGGATCCGCAACACCCTGAACTTGACAAAATGTCCAGACCCTTAAACCCACGCTGCTTGACACAGGCATGCCAAAATGGCGTCTATGTTCCCTTCACCCCTCCCCAGATTGAGGTGGAACCCTCAACAAGACCATCAGAGTCGCCTTTTGCTTGGGCATGCTTTTGAAGTTCTTTCCGTTCATGGTTGCCGCTCTGTGTCCACGGCGCCCCTTGCAGGTTCCTTGAGGGAGGCTGCCCAGTGCCTGTGTGCAAGAGTATGCTTTTGGTCTGAAGAACCTCCCATGCTTCGGCATATTTCAGCATGAAGGGAAAATCACCAGAGGGCCTTCCTTGGGCAAAATTCTCCCGCGCCGAAGGATTTTCTTTTGCGTAGGATCCCAGGCTCGATCTCCCCTTGAGGCCCGTGATGCCCTCAGGTCAGCCGTGGGCGCAGCGCATTCCAGCGGGATCCTAAGCATGCAGCTCTGTATGAAGTCCAAGCCGCGGCCTAAGTCGGGTCGGACCGAACGAAGGTCGGATTTTTCGACCTCAAATCGCGGTGGAAAGCCTTGCCCCTAGGCAATCGGACCTCGGAGTTTTCCCAGATCTGGCTTGATTTGCAGGCCATGTACCGGGAGACGACTATCGTTATCAGTATTGTCATCATTGCTCGTATTTTGATCGAATTTCTTGAACATCGCCAGGTAGATTCACTTGGGGTCAACACATTGCTGGGAATCAGCGCGGGACTGAACCTGACCGGGGTCATTTCGATCATTCCAGAAAGTCGCCCTGGATGAGAAACCTTCGAACCCTTAAGCAGGCAAGAACTGCTGGAGTAGGGGGGAAGGCAGCATTTCCCTTTCTGAAGTTAGCTTTCGCCGCCACATCAAGGCCAGTGCACCCTGAGTATCCGGTGCTGGAATTCAGTCTGCCTATAGCGATTACACCGATTCGGGGTATAACGAGATCACCATGATAAAGGTCCCTGTACTTTGGATTTCTTCATCCAGCTGTTCGAATTTTAGGAACAATGCAGATTCAGTGGTACATGATGCCACTTCTGCTTTTCTTCAGGGCCGTTCAGGTGCTTGCTGAGCGCTGGAGAGGATGGGGCCATCAAGATCTGGTCGCTGAACGCGGGCACACTGACGTTTCAGGCCCGTGCTGCAAAAACGACGGCCGCAGGGCAAAGGGCCACAGACTAAAATGGTTGGATTCCTTCCAGCCGCCCGGCAGAAATATCAGCGTCCTTTTCGGGGCAAATTCACATGGAACTCAGATTGGGTCGTGTTCCCGTTGCCTTTTTGAGGGTAATGTTGACCCAGGAGTAATAAACCCGTCCCATTATTGGGGGGGTGTTCCCTCCAAAAGTGATGAATCCCTACTAAAAGGGTACACCCCCCTATTAATGAACCAGGGGTTTATTAATCCGGGGTTAACATTACGCGGAGACACACCCGTGTTAATCTGAGAGCCTCTTGGCTTCTCGCTCGCCTTTTGAAGAACAGGCGAGCGTGGAGTCGGCGCACGATGGCGGGGCGGTGTCCCAGCTCCAGTTCGACCCTGCTCGCCGCTCTGAGAAAACGTGGCGGTTGGATGAACTTGGCTGCGATTGGCTTGAACTCACTCCCCGAGTTTCTGGACTTCCATCAACTTTTTGGGCGTGGACCATTTTAGTGGTAAGCAGAAAAGTGGCAAACAACACTTGTTTTTTTGTTTTTCTTCTTGGCCAATCCACTCGGGAAGTGAGGGAATCTCTAGACTTCAACTGAACTTCAACTGTTGATGCTTTGTTTGCCGCGCAGCAACAAGGTAAACTTTTTGCCCAGGGGATTAAGGCATCCAGCAAAGGTTAGAAAGGGAATGCCGCAACTGCGTTTCCTCTTCAAAACGGGGGGGGGGGCTTGTTGCGAAGACCATGTGCTTGAAAGTGAGTTGGTGCCATTTGCTTCCATTTGCTTAAGCCCCGGAAAACAAACACACGTATTTCCAGTAGTGATAGGTTCCCTGTAAAACCAACAAGGGAAAAAGAACAATTTTCTTAAGCAAATCAAGTTTGGAATGGGGGTCCCCCAATTTTCTGAGCCCCTTTGCTTAGGCAAGAAGCAGGTTCCAGCTTGCGCCAAAAGACAATGCGCATAGCATAGGCCAAGAGCCAATTGAGGTTTCCCTTAAAAAAAAAAACTAGTTTTTTCTCGCAATTACCAAGGGTTTCCCTTGGTCAAGGTTCAATTTTTTTATTGTTTGCGAGGTGATGTGTGCAGAGGAGATTTATGGACCCCTACTAGTTACGCGAAAACCTCAATGGAATTAATTGTGCAAAGCCGACCTTTGACCTTTTAGCTTCCCATTTTGGTCCATTTTTCGTCATGGCTAGGTGATCGCCTCTCAATGCTGGGGTCTCCTGCTTGAACTCTGGATACGCTTTCTCTGGATCTGCAGGGGTCTCCAGGGGTCCAGACCCTCGATCCACGCATAAAAAATGCAACATTTGGGTGGATTCCTTCCGACTTGAGGCAAGCTTCTGGTGAGCGCAGGGTCTGACAAGCGGATCCGCGCCTGGCTTTTCTCGCCTAAAGTGAACGGCCTCCTGCAGATTGCCTCTGCGGTGCAAGGCGCGGGGCCGGATCCGGATCCCGAAAAGCGAAGGAGAAAGCCCAATGTGTTTCTTTCCATCTCAGCGAGAAGTCTTCTTTGGCATGGTGAGGGGCTTGAGCCTTCCAGGTCTGTGTATGGTGGCCCCTATGGTTGCGTATCCAGTTGTTCCTTTCGGGTAGTGACCGGGCAGGGGTTTGGGGGTAGCAGAAACCAGCTGCCAGCTCAGTGTCCCCAAAATGAAAGGGGGTTATACTATGATCGAATTGGGGAAGGGCCCAAAACCAGCCCCGGAGATCTGCACTTTGCGCCGCACAGTTTGTTCTGAGTGGCTCGAAACGTAGAAGAATTGCTGATTTTGGGGATTTGGCGGCTACCCAGCCCCCCAAACCCCCACCTCAGGTGGGGGTTTTGCATCGGCACGTCGGCGTCGGACCGCCTCAAGCCTTGGCTCAATGCATGGTTCTGATTGCAAGTGGCACTCCCCCCAAAAAAACATGATTCTCGAAGTTCTACCTACATCTTTCAAGTAGGACTCTCGGCATGAATACGCCGTGTCTTGGTTGTAAGAGCACAGCTGGCCTCCCCTCCGGCCTTTCTCGCGTGTGCGCAAAAAAATCCCGAGCCCAGCGGCGGCCGGCCGCCGGCCGAACGCTCGCCCATGGCGCGGCGGGTGTTGGGCCGCGCTCTGCGCGCCCGGCATTTGGTGCTGTCCTTCTCGGTGCTGCTGACAGCGGCGCCATGCTTCGCCAGGCCCAGGTTCACGGCGCTCAGAGCGGAGCCCGACGAGGTCGGGGCTGAAATCTTGGGGCGGGGGGGGGGGGCTGCGAGTCGAAAACTCAAACAAGGGAAATGAGGTGGGGAGATGAGAGCGGTTTCCTGTAGGCTTATTCATTAAAAAAATAAATAAATCAAAAAAGCATGTTTTATGTGTTTATTTTGAGTTTCTCTCCAAATTGCGGTTTCCATGTCAGCTTCATTCCCCTCAACGCGCAAAGGCGCAGAGCGAGCCGCCAAAAGCGCGCACTCGAGGCTTACCAGGAACTGCGCCAGTTTGTTTGGGGTCCCGATTCAAAACTGAGTCTTGCCTGCTGGTTTCTATCTTGAACCCCCTGCGGGTTTCTGTTTTCAATCTCCACGGGTTTTCTCGCTGGCTTCTCCCCGTGTCTTCAAAACGAGAGAGCCTTTTGTTTTTGCACGAGAAGTGGTTTCCCAGAGAATTTGCTTCCCTTGTTTTTCCCTCCTCGTGCTGTCCCAGAAAAGAGGAAACAAAAGAAACGAACCAAGACGAACCAACGACCGCCATGTCCCCCACCGCGAGCCAGGTGCGGGAGGCCATCCGCCAGATGCGGGCGCGGGAGATGAAGCGAGAGCTGGAGGCCGCCGGCGTCAACGCCGCGGATCTCTTCGAGAAGGTGAGCAGCGACAGGGGCGGCGGAAGGGTTGAAGGGACACCTGCTTCTGATAAAACCCACGGGAAGCCGGAAAGGGGGGGGGGGGGGAACAGGCACTAGTTGCAGGACGACGTGTTTATTTTTCCTCCGGCAAAAAAGAACAGCGTGCTTTTTTTCTGGCTGACATTTTGTCCTCCCCATCTTTTCAAATATGTTTTCTATCTTTAAACACATTGTTATGTCTCCCTCAGCCGCAGGAGGAGTTGGCCGAGCGCCTCTGGCAGCTGCGCACCGGCGCCATCCAGGGGGCCCCCGCCGCGGAGCCGGCGGCGGATGTGGCGCCGGAGCCGGATCCGAAGGATCCGAAGGCGCGAGAGGAATGGAGCGGCCAGGTGCGATAGGGAATGACCCCGGATGAAGAAACCCTGTTTACTCACTTCCTGAGTTCATGAACTTTAGTCACTTTTTGGGACGATTTTGGTGGTAAATATGAAGTTTAAACTCTTTTTGGGCCATCCACTCAGCCAGTGAGTATTTATTAATATGGGGGTGGGGGCCCCTCCAAAAGTGAGAAATCCACTGAAACCGGGGACGCGCCCCACATTGATAAACAGGGGTTTATGAATCCGGGGTCAACATTAGGGAATGACCGCGTCAGGGTGCTGGGAATGAGCCGCTTGGGATGTTCTTAAAGGAAACCACAGTGGATGGGTTATAGGGACCATTCCTTCATTGCCTGCTGAAAACCGCCAAAAAGAAGTCGGTTTTGTCCGGACCCAGAAGGGATGGATGTATGCAGTGAACCATTGTAGCTGCGTTGGCGCAGCCAAAGTCAAATTGGTTTTGGGCGCAGCTCACTTTTTTCCCCAGGACATGCGCTTTCAGAACGAATACAGAGATGCACATTCATGCATAGAGATCTCGTCCAGCTGGGATTCCCCCCACGTTGATGCTCTCAATCAAAAACACCCCGCCAGCCGCCCATAAGTCAACTCCCAACCAGAGAGGTTGCCCCTGAAGACCAGTGGGCACCTTTTGCCTTGAGTCAAGACCCTCTGGACGCAACGGCAGAGAGAGAGAAAAGAGAGAGAGGGATAAAAAAAAACAAAAAAACAACTTGTTGCTTTGGGTGGGGGGGCCGGGCCGGGGGGCGGGGGGGTGGAGCTGGTGTCCTTTGGCCCAGAGAATGGCCCCATCTGCGTGGAGGCAGTGAGCGATGCGCAGCCCGCGGACTTCTTGGAGGCCTGCCGGGCGATGCGGGTGAAGGAGCTGCGCACGGAGCCTCGGGTGCAGGGGGGGGGGGGTGGCGGGAGGTCGTGGGGTCGGGGGGCCAGGGGGCCACGATGGCTCGAGGGCTCGGGGGGGGGGGGGGGTGGCGGGACCTCCATAGGGACTCTTGCCACCTTACAAGTTGGGACCAAGCAAATTGTGGAGATCTCCACTGAGCGTAGCGTCTTTCCCTGTTGTGGTTGGAAGGCCGGAAATGTGATTGATTGAATCGTTTACCTGAAGTTCGGATGCTTCCGGCTGGGGCCGCAAAATTGGACACCTTCAAAGCAACACACTTGCCCAGCCGACATGTTTGACTTGTTTCATATAGTGAGGCGGAGATGCTTTTCATCATGTTCAGGTCTCCGTCAACGAGATTACTTGGAATCTTCCTATGAGAGGTTGTACTTTGGGCTTTTGAGCGGCTCTAAGTGGTTTGGGGCGTTTTTTCTCGAGCGCATTGGAAAGTGGATGGCAGAAAGCTACCAAGAGCCCCTTTGTAGCCAGTAAAAAGACAAGGGCTGCTTGCTGCTTGCACCTTCGGGTGCATGGTGACTGTGTTCCATGCTTGTGTTTTGCAGGTCATTTTTTTCTAGTCACACTTTGAGCCATAGATTTTTGACAGTGGCCGCCAAAGTTGTTCGTTTTGGCCTTGGCAGGTGCCAACGGTACTTGTCAATACGCGCAGACCTCGAAGCCGTTGGAGACAAGGGCTGGCGCGAGTTGCCATCTGCGCGAGTTGCGATACTTCTCCGATCCAAGACTTGATGCATCAAGAAGTGTCCAACCTTGGGTGAACTCTCCACATATCAATTAGTTGCGGCTCAAATTCAAGAGCTATGGTTACACTTTTCTCTAGCTGTGCGTCTTTGGTTCCATTTGCCAAGGTGCAATTTGGGTACATGTTTTTCAGCCACAGCCATATGGCTGTGGGTCAAAACCAATGCTGCCATTTTGGGGTAGGTGCACCCATTTTAGTCTATAGTGGGGATTGGGGGTACGGGATTGTGACCCACGGCCATATTCTATGTGTTTTTTTTGGCAGCTTGTTGCTCAGGAGCTGGGGCAACGGGGCATCTCCTGGGCAGACTGCCTGGATAAGGACTGACCCAACGCAGGTCCCTTTTTGGGGAAACCAAAAGGAAGCCAAGTGCCTGGAACTTGCGCTTTGGGGTTGAACGGGATGTCCAGGTTCCCTCTTTTCTTGAGGTCAGCGTCTTATTCTGGGATATGCTCATATGCAAGTCACCGTGCCGAACTGTAAAACAGAGGTAGGTTGCGGCAGATTCCAGGTTGTCCTTCGTTTCTTCTCCCTACCTGCAATTGTCAGGGCGTTCAGTTGTTGTCGTCTGCCCCTCTCCGCTCAAAAGTGCACACACACACACACACACACACGCATGCCGAGGCCGAAGCTAGGCGACTGTCGAAACTGCAACTTGTGGCTTTCGCGAAGATCCTGCTTACATTCGACCACTGTTTGTTTCTGTCTCGGGTCCGATCCTACCTACCTACCTACCTACCTACGTACCTACCTACCTACCTACCTTCCTTCCTTCCTTCCTTCCTTCCTTCCTTCCTTTTTTCCTTCCTTTTTTCCTTCCTCTTTTCCTTGCTTCCTTCCTTCCTTCCTTCCTCCCTCCCTTCCTTCCTCCCTTTCTTCCTCCCTTCTTTCCTTTTTTCATTTTTTTCCTTTTCCCTTTCTTCTTCCTTTTGCTTCATTTTGCTCTCTTTCTTTCTTCCTTTCTTTCTTCCTTTCTTTCTTCCTTTCTTTCTTCCTTGCTTCCTTTCTTTTGTTTTCTCGTTTCTTTTGCTTGTTTCTTTTCGCCGGAAACCTTTTCGGCGTGAGGACGAGCTGGTGCAGCGCCTGGCCCAGCAGCTGGCGAAAGAGGCCGCCTTCAGCTCCCATCTGAAGCCCGGGGTCGTCACCAAGATCACCGGCCCCTCGGCGCTTGGGTCTCGGCCTGGTTTTTGTTTTGTTTCTCTTTTCGTTCTTCTTTTCTTTTGTTTTTTCGTTATTTGGTGCTGTTCATTTTTAGGGGGCTGCAAAAACAGTTCCTTTTTTTTGCAACCATACCAAGGGTTGTGAGGTAGTGCTGGTTGACACCCATAGCAATTAGATGTTGACCCCGTAGCAATTTCTGTTGATTGCTAGGGGGGAGGGCGGGGCCATTTCTGGTTTTAGTGGGGAATCACCTAAAGAACAAAAAAACAAAACAAAAAAACAACAACATTGACCCCACAAATTTTCAATTTTCCGTCCATCCCAACTGGTGCATGACTTTGTGCACCCGCACTACAACACCAACAGGTGTGTATTGATGCCGAATCAACACTGATGTTGACCCATATGAATTTCAACCAACCTGTTTATGAATAGGGGAGTGTTCCCTGCAAAAGTAATTATTCCCCATTGAAACCAGAAATGGACACCCAGACTGGGGTTGACTAGTACGGGGTCAACATTTAATTTCTATGGGTGTCAACTTTTTTGGGTCAGTTTGGATAGAAATAAATGGGTTCCATTTTTTTTTGTGTGTCCCTTAAAAACTTGGTGATTCCCAGCCATCCGGTTTTCACTCGGGTGTTTCGCTGTTTTACTTGGTTTTAGTGGACATGGGTTTCCATTCAAACCACGAAAATATATTCACTTCTAGCAGGAGATCTGAGGACAGCACGATTCGAGTAGTTATTCTCTAGCAAAATTGGGTTCAGGCGGACATTATGAAATCAGGGTTTCTTTGCTCGGTCCAGCCTGGGAAAGGTGTTCAGGCGTAGAGTGGGCCAGGGATCGGGGGTGCGGGGGTGGGGAAGGGGGGGGCTGATCTGTTGGAATCCTTTGGTTTCTTCCTTCAAGATGTGACTGGGCCCCTTAAAGTGCTTCCACGTAGGCCCACTTTTGTGGGGCCTCTCTGCATCTTCCCGCATTCGGAGCTTGAGGGCCTGCTTGAAAGACATCGACTTTCGCCTGGGTGCCTCTTTTGGGCTGTTCCCTGGCTGGCCCCAAGATTAAACAGCCCATGCTTGAATTTGAATGGGGGGTGGTTCCCATTTTAGGGAAGAGGACTTGCACATTGGACTGGCTAAACTGAACACATAGCCCAGTTGTCCAGTGGCACCAATTCTTTCTCCCTTTCTGGTTGACCGCTTCCCTACTCGTCACCCACCAAACCGGTTCCCTTTCAACCATCACTGAGCCGGGAAAGAAGATGAGGTTTCTCGACAATTCCCTTAGCGTTTCGAACTGAAGAATCAGCACCATGCAATGGGTTGTTGGATTAACAACAAAAACACAGCAACAATGCGGTTTCCCTCACTGAACCGGGAAGACGATGAAACCTCAAAAAATCCGTGGAGTTTCCGCTTTCACCCCTGGTGAAATGAACAACCTATATATATATATATATATAAAAGCGCATTGCGTTGTTTTTTGCGGTGTTTTTATTGTTTCTCCGAAAACCTGTTTGTTTAGTGTGTTGTTTATGTATATATATATATATATTTGTATATTCACCATGGGCTTTGTGTGCTTGTGTTTTCTAAAACCATGGGGGATGTTTGCGTTCGTTTCCCAAGAGCGCCCGCTTAGCACACTATTCATGCCAGCCAAATGGTATCAAGTGCACCCGCTCAGCACTGTATCCATAGCTGGGAATGGTAAGCACACCAGCTCAAGAGCACCCTCTCGGCACTGTATCCATATCGCTCAGCACTGTACCACCCGGGCAAAGATGGGAGGTTCCAACGTACACTTCGTACTGCGTTCAACTCTCAACGATACGATGCCGAGATATATATATATATATATACACATATGTATACATATAAGAGAACATCTATGGTTGAAAAATGCTCAAAGTAAACCAGGACGAGAAGGTATCGGGCTGACAGCTCCGGCTGTCGAACTTGAGGCCCGGAGCTGCAGGATGAGCTCAAGGACTCGGCCACGCCCCTGCTGCTGGATGTCTATGCCACGTGGTGCGGGCCCTGCAAGCCAGGGGGCCCAGGTTTAGCTTCGTCTTCTTTTTTCTCCCCCCCGGTTGTCTTTCCCCCCTCTCCCGTTGTTTCCTCGTTTTTCTTTTTTTTTTGTCCTCCTTTTCCTCCCTATTTTGTTCCTCGAGGGGGGAGGCCCTGGGATTCCGGAAAATCGGGCAAACCCTGATTGGTTTGGTTTGGATTGGATTCGGATGTGAAGCCATGGCTTTTGCAAATTAGAGTGTAAATGGGAAGCCACGTAACTCAGGCTTGTTTTGGCTTTCTTCCTGAGGAAGCGCGTTAAACCCAAAATCCCGGGAGTGACTCCCCTTGCTTTGGTGGAAAAAACACTTCCCAGCCTTCGCAATTTGTTACCAAACCGCGCGTGCGTGCGTGCGCTCGCTCGTATTGGGGGCGGGGGTGGGGGTTCCGGAGAAAGCGCCTCAGGATGATGGAGCCCCAGATGGAGGCGGCGGCCAAGAAGCTCGGGGAGCGGGTGCGCATGGCCAAGATGGACTCAGACCAGGCGGGGGAGCCGGGGAGTCGGGAGTCGGGGGACATGGGCCCGCGTTTTTTTTTTTTTTTTCTGAAATTCCCCCCCGCCCCCCCAAAGGAAATGACCCAAAAGGAGGACCGACCCAAAAGAGGACCGACCCAAAAAATAAGAGGACCGGCCCCAAAAGGACATGGGCCCAAAACACGGGCGATTTTTTCCTGGTTGGTGGTTTGGATTGGTGGGAGCTGGAGTTGGATTTGCACCGCTGGTTCTTGTGGGTAAATGAGAAACCACCCCTAATCAGTACACCACCGGGCTCCAAACCACAAACTAGTCTAGTGGGAAGCTGAAAAAGAATAAGCGTCCGGAAGTTGGCAGCTGGTGCCTTACCACCAGGCCGTTTTTGAAGTGCAAAAGAATGCCGGAGAGAAGGGGTACCTTATCACCTAGGGCCTGTTTTCAACTTTCCCTTCTTCCCGAATTCCTTTAATTCTTTCCGCCACCATATTTACGCATCTTTTTCCAAAGGGTGGGCTGGAGGGGGGGTGTTCACTCGGGATGTGTAAATGTCCAGTTGATGAATCGGGTGTGCCTTGTTTTTGGGACACGGATGGTCGTTTGGTATGAGATAGGGGCAGAAACTGTTTCCATTTGACAAAGGTCACGCTCCCACCATGATTTTTGCTTAACGGTAAGTCAGGCTGGCTATCGTACCCTTTGAGCGTAGCCCAACATTGGTGTAGCGTGTTTGTGGTGTGTGTTTGTGTGTGTGTGTAGCGAGACCATGGTGAACGTGTGCGCTGAACAGAAGCACGATCGCGCGGCCCTGTTTACCCTTTTAGTTCTTGTGACAAAAATATTGTGGTTTTGTGGCCATTCGCATCCTCTGGCTCAACTTTTGGTATTATGGACGTTTCCAAACTAAACTTCTTTCGATTACACAAGCAAACAAGAAAAAGGGCACCCCACGTCTGATTTGAAGAGGCAGAAGGCCAAACGCACAAGTGCAACAACACTGGCGATTATTGAATGCACATGAATGCACGCAAGGCGCTGCTAAACAGGAGAGCTGCAAGCACGCAAGCAAGAAGGGCCCAAGGGCCTCCTCTTTGGTGCTGCCAAGGCTCCGATCGCCAGTTTGTTTTTCCCCCAGGAGAGCACCACCTCCTCGGAGCTCCGGGTGAACGGCCTGCCCACGGTGATCTTGTTCGACCGCGCAGGGAAGGAGGTGGCACGGCAGGAGGGCGCTCTCATGGAGAGCCAGATCCTTATCTCCACCCTGGCCTGGGCGGTTATTGTTGGCAATGCTTAATCCTTAGCTTCGGTGACGCAAGGGACCGGGTCCTTTTGTAGTGCCCCAGGCTTATTCCTCGCCTTTTGTGCCTATGCGTTTCGGCTGCCAATGTTTCTGGGCAACTGGATGTCCTTTTCAACCATTTTTGGAGTCCCTTTTGGTTTGTCTTGACTAGCTTACCCTTTGGGTTTTGCCCACCACTCTCTGAGATGTTCAAAGGCAATCCCTAAACCTTACCTTGGGTTGCTGATTATGGATTGGGATTGGCCAACACGAACCCTTTTGAACAGCCCAGTGCAAAGGAATGACAAGTGTCTGAAAGTAAACCAAAAAAAAACACATGTCTGTCAGCAAGCCTGCCCAAAAACACCCAAGGGTATCCAGAGCTCCGGTCAGGATCTTCCAGCCTCCATGAAAGCTAGCATGAGGGAACCACCTTGACACGCGCGCGGGTTTTTGCCCGTGCTGTTTTTTGCCGCTGCATTCTCCAGGGTTCCTCGTCCGTGCCAAAATGGCCAAATTTAAAGATCCAAGCCACCCGAAAGTCAGGTTGAACACTTCTGGAGCCATGACTTGTCGGTTTCCGAGGCGGTCTTCGGTTTGCGGTCTGCCATTCTTTTCTCAGCTTAGCTCAGGTTTCCGTTCTTTTCTTAGCCAGACAGTTTCTCAGTTTCCACTGAGCCTAAGGATCTTGGACCTGGTGAAGCCGTATCTGTGACCGAGTCGGAGTTGACCGGAATCGACCCGGCCACCGACTGACCGGAGCGCCGTGTCACTCCCCGGGCTCCGGTTCGAACTTTCTTGGGCACTTTTTGGGTTTGGACCATTTTAGGCAGCAGTTCAAAGACTTTTTCTGGCCAATCCACTCGTTCGGAAGTGAGAGCTCCGAACACCGGCTGGAGACTGGGGGTATTGTGATGGCCAGGTGCCTGGGAGGCAAAGGCTTTGCGCCTCCAAGCCAGCGGGCCCAAACCACAGAAGTTCCGTTTAGGATCAGTTCCGAGATCTGGGTCCATGGAGAGGCTGCGGAACCTCTCTGTCGGAAAGACTTTTGGGATCATTTTCAGGATTCCAGTCTGGACGCAGTGCGCGCGATATCAGATCCGATACGCGCGGCGATATGCTGTGTGTGGCGGGATGGCGGATGGCCCTTGAATCTGCACAGCAGTCAAAACGGACGAGTGGCCGGCGCGACAATCAAACACCACCACCAGGTCGTTTGACGAGTAGGGACAGTCCCAAACACAGCTGCGGATATCCGCCCTGTTGATTCCGCGCATGATTTTTTTGGGTAGGCTTGCTCAACAGGCTTGGAGCATTGCTCAGCTGTGCGGTTTTGCGTCGCAAATCAGCACTTCAGCATGCCGCAGGCCAGTTTGCGCAGCACGCCGCCGTCGTCTCAAGGCTTATACTCATGAACATACGCTGACTGCCACTTTATTTGTGGCAAAGTTCTTCGAGGTCGAAGGCCGTTTTTCACCGTATCTTGGAATGTGTTTTTTCATAACAGGTGCCTCTCTTTTCTATCAAAGAGAACCCAGAAGGAAACCCAACAGGAAATCCAGAGGGAACCCCCCAAAAGCAAGTAACCAAAAAGAAACCAAACAGAACTCAAGAACCAACAATAATTATGATCCCTGCCACGTGCGCCTCCCAGAACTCTCCCGCGCTATGGCAGTGCCATTTCGCATCCACGTGCCCGAGGAGGACCTCGCAGCATTGGAACAAAGCCTTACCTTTCTGCTGAAGGAAACCTTTTGCCTTGTGTGTGTTTCCTTGGGTTTCTTGGTTTGCTTTTTGAAACCTTTTGCCTTGTTGTTTCCTTCTTGATGGTATTCCCGGACCCTCACTTCTTTTCGGAGAACAACCGATTAGGCAGTTTGAGGCTCCAGCTTCCGCCCTATTTTGCTTTATTTATGTTCCTTGTTTTGTGCTCTTTTTTTTTTGGGGGGGGGGGGGTGGAACTTGCCTTTTTGGCGCCTTTGCGTGCTGCCTTTTTTTGCCGGTTGTCCCTTTTGTCGGTTTTCCTGGGTTCGCCCCTGGCCTTGGCCTTGGTCTGAGGCAGATCTCCGGGAACGGCTGGCGCGAGCCAGGCTGCCGGACCAGGTGCGGGCGGCTACCAAATGGATGGGTTACCTACCTTAAAAACACAACTTTTGGGGGGTAACATGGGGGGTAAGGTAATATGGGGGGGAACATGTGCTACTTGCCTTTTCAACTTTTTGGGGGTAACATGGGCTATATGTCTGTAAAAGATGAACTTCCCCAGGGCTTGGAGTTTTAAGGGGTAAGATTACCTAGGGGACACTTCCCCATCCGCTCAGCTTTCCAAGGCGAATCGGTTTTTGAAGGCTTTGGGTTTTGATCTGTCAGATGTCAAGTCGACTCATGATGTTTCCCCTCAGGATCCAGGGATCCGAATAATTCCAGAAAACCATCCAGAAGTCCACTTGGGGTGTAATCAAAAACAACTGGTCATAGGCTGAGTTTCTGACGTCTTGAGTGCATGAACTTTATATACGTTTTGGGTTTTTGGACCGGTTTAGTGGTGTGTTTTGTTCACGTGTTGTTTCATCATGTGGCAAAACGGCCGAATGGCCGTTTGGCTCAAGTTTTTCCACCTCCCGACAGGTCTTCTGCGGTAAAACGTCAGGCGCCATAGTGCGGCGGTCTTCCCCCTCATTAAGTAGTTTGCTGCTTGGTGCGGGATAGGGCTGGCACTAGGAGGTACCTGGTTTTACGGCGTGGGCGCCCTGGGCTTGGTGGCATACTTCCCGATTTACTATTGCAACGTGTTTCCAAACCCCCCCAAACATTTTCCTCTTCTACCGTCACATCCTCAACCCGGTCATCATCCACAGCTTCATCCGAGTTGTGTTTCCGGGTGCTGTGGGCACTTTGTGATCTACCTTGTGCTCATTTGCTTCCCTGGGCTACTTCGTGTTCGCCCAAAACCGCAGGTTATCAGCCGTACCAGCTAGAAGCTGGGGCTGGTGATCCGGTTGCGGGACGTGACCCGCTACCTGCTCCCATCGCCTACTTGTACGAGCAATGGCGTCCCCCGGAGCTTCTCATCGTGGGCCGGGCTTCGTGGACGACGAGGCCAACGCCCTTCGCGGCAACGCCGCGCCTGCTGCCCCGGCTTAGACAGCCGGCTGTGGCCCATTCCCCCGATGGTGGGCGCAGAGCCCAATCCCGGGGTGATCACGGACGATTGGATCCTTTCTCAGGTTGTGTTTGATGAGGATGCGGAGGCCCCTATCCCGGCGGCCTGCTCCAGATCGAGCTCCAGATCGGACCCCCTCTAGAAGAGGCTGAGGTTCCTCCAAATCAGGTGCCCTCATCGATTTCGCCTACTGTTCCGTTCGTGGCGCTCCAGATCGAGGACCGGGCTGCCCATCATGCTGCTCATCCGGAGCCGGTTCAATCATGGTCCCTTACATGGGATCAGTTTGACCAACTCCTCGGCAGTGGATCGCAGGCTACACCGCCTGATTTCGGTCGGCTCGACTTTAACTCGGGTGCCCCCGTTTCGGTTGGGAATCTGGATTTTCAATCCCTTTTTGATGCTGATTGGAGGTCTCAGCCTTCCCGAATTGACAGATCTTTGATGCCCTGCCTCGCATGAGCCTACTCAGGGTTTTCCTCATGATGGAGAAAATGACCCCATTGAAGATTTCTCCCCTTCTCATGTTGCAGGTTCGGCCCAACCCGAGGTGGGCAAACGGGCGATTGAGGATTGGCCGCAAATAGCTGGCCCTCCTCCCGTCTCAGGTTCATCCGACATTGACATCATTCACGATCACCCCAGTCCGGCGGATATGGACTTCATCCCTGATGCAGTATCATCTCACCTGTCAGGTACCCGCGACCGGAATGCGGACCGCTACAACGCTGGTCCGAATCCACCGCTTTCCTCAGGTACCCGAGGTCGGGATGCGAACCGCTACAACGCGGGCTCAAATCCGCCAAATCGGACATCAGGTACTAGTCGATCGGATGCGGGCCGCGAAACAGCAGGCCCAAATCCTTCCTTCTCTTCGTCAAGAAGCCATGCCGGTCTCTTCGCGGCGTTCAATCGGCGTCAGACTCGAAAAGAGTCCGCCCCCGACGTCATCGACCTCGAGGAGCAGTCCAGCCACCGTACCAGCGATGGATCCGAGCAGGATACACCTGGTATTGGCTCTACTCCATTTGACCTCCTCGACATCCCCTTCCATCAGCCACCCAGGAGAGGAAATGAAGATGATGAAACCATTCCTGGAATCCTTGATGTAATCGATGAGGCCGAGGTCACACCAGAGAGACGAACTACATCGCTCCCGCCGAGCCGCGTTGCCAAAGTACTTTCCCCTAAGCCACTCAATGGTGACGTTGCTCAACGGCTTGATCTCACTCAACCTAATCCAGATCAAGCTCAACTTCGCGGATCATCATCATTTGATAATGTGTCGGGACAAACCGGCACTGACTCACGAGCCACAAAGAGGAGCTCTGAGTCACCCGAGAGACGTGAAGCTGCTCTACGACTGCGATCTAATCCCCCAGCTCATCACGATCCTATTGACGTTCCTATACACTCTGCGGGGTCTGGGCTCAGCTCCAACGCCCCGATGTCTGAGAAGGAGACTGATGACGGGATTAACTCTACGCCTAGGAATCGGAGACCTGGTCTTAGCACTGTTGCCCCTGGATATGGAGGGCTTCCTTCGAATCAACCGGTCAACGACTCCGTTGTCCCCGCATTCTTTCAAATCGGAACTCCGGGCTGCACTCCCGACAGGGAAGAGAATAGCCGCGGAGATCATGACGCTGATAGTCGTCCTGCTCCGTCTGCTTCCACAAGTGGCGGCCATCCTGTTGCATCTGAGCTTCAACGACTGCTTCTCGCGATCCATAACGAGGTCAAGGGGTGCAAGGCCGAAATCCAGGGATGCAGAGCTGAGATTCGTTCATGTAGGGATGATATCAACGCTTGCGTCGGTGAGATCAAGAAGATCAATAACCGTGTTGACGCCTTCGAGAAGAAGGTTGAATCATCCTTCTCTGCTGTTGCCGGAACTCTCTCAAAACACGAGGCTAAGTTCCGTGATTTCCACGAGTGGGTTGCCCGAAGCGAGAAGGAGATGAATGAGCGTTTCAAGATGTATGATGAGAGATCTAACTCGATCGTCATATCCGCTGCTGAACTTCGCGAGCAGGCCGAATCACTTGAGAACGCCAAGGTCCAGCTTCTTAGGTTTTCTGAGATCGGGGCCCTTGAGGCTGAGGTTCGGAAAATCAAAGACGAAGTTGAGGCGAACTCTCGCAGTGTCATCGACATTGAGGGAACCATCTCAAGAGAAAGAACCATCCGTGGGAACGTCGAGACGTATATCCAGCATCTCGTTCCTGCGACCGACCTGAAGCAGTTCAGTGATAAGGTATCCGGAGCCCTCAATGAGAACTCACAGAAACAGGAAGAATTCAAGCTTCAATTGTCCCGCATTGCTAGATGTGTCAAGGACCTTCATGACAAAAGCTTAGGCCCCAACCCGAGGGACATGCAAGAGCAGTTTATGAAGCTTGTGCTGAGGGTCAATGAGATCAACATGCAGGTCGCTGAATTGAGGGAGCAACCTCTTGCTGCCTGCGGATCCTCAAGTGCTGGCGCTGGTTCGACCGCCGGAACGGGATCATGGGAGAAATCTGGAGACACAGATCCCTTAACCCAGGGAAGGGCTCCTAGAGGTTCTCCTCCTCGTGATGCTCGCACCGTCAGCTCGGCGAGGCCTCCTCCACCTCCACCTCCTTCGGGGCCACCCCCACCATCACCATCAGCCCCCATCTTCGGCAGGGATCCCTCTAGAACGAGGGCCATTGCTCGGGCTGCCGGCGCTGCCCCTGATAACCGGGCCAGGTGTGCTCATGAGGAGCCAGGGCATCCACAGCATCGGGAACCTCGCTATCCATGCCGAAGCTGCGGCAAGTCAGTCTGCGAAGACTGCTTTGACCATGACTGTAACTCATGTTTCAAGTGCAGCGATCAGTTTCCTAGATGCCGCGCATGCAGAGGAAGAGGGGGGAGACACGGACTTGTGAGGTGTCTCATATGCAAGACGAGTACTGCGATCAACACATCGCTTCGCCTGACGATGTACGTCGTTTTGGGTCGAGTGTTCGACCTATTTGCCTCGGTTGTCTGAGAGCTGATCCCGACGGGAAAACTAAGCATCGCGGCCCCAGTGCGGGGCCTGGAGGACCTGATTGCATTCCTGATCATAATCAGCAGGATGGCACTGCTCCTGATCCTGGATCCGGGCCATCACGTGGAGATCCGTCACATCGGAGTCCTGAACCGCACCAAGGGAATTCTGGTTTCTGTTCCCACGCCGGAGCTGCCGGGCCAATGCCACCAAGGGCAATGTCTTCGCCCGTAGTCGGACGAGCAGTTCCGAGGGGGACCATCAACACGTACCCCGGATGTTCCCCTACAGGGGGGATTTTCACCGGTCAGGTTGAGCATGGAACGTCTCAGGGAGTCATTCGCGGGAGATACGGACCTGACGCTGCTGTGACAAATCAGCAGAATCCACAGCCTCACCACGGGGCACAGGATAACTCTGGCGGGCCAACTGGTTTTTCTCTTCCACCAGGACTCGGTAAGGGTGTGCATGGCGTCGGTGGCGTCGGCGGTATTGGAGCTCCCGATATTCGCCGATCTTCCGCTGAGGAGAGGGTCTGCCCTCGGTGCAACATAAATGTCAAGACCAGCATCCCCGGGACACCTCCATGCTTCCAAACTTGTTCGTTGTGCCGCACTTCTCTATGCGCCGCGTGCTGCCCGCCATCGTCCGGGAGTTGCTCTCTGTGTGCCATATCCATTGGCAGAGACGGCGTTTTACCTCCCCATGTTTTTGGGCAGGCTACTCGACCGCCCTTAACTTCGTTGCCATCTGAGGCGAACAAGTGCGCCAACATAGAGCTCGAAAAAGAGCCCGCACCGCATGAGTTGCGAGACTGGATCATTTCCACGAGAGAAATCGTGAGCAACGCATTCAGCTATGACTCGCCATATGCCATGTCTTGGGTCATGAGTGTCGAAAACGCCAGCACAATAGAGGAAC